TTCTTATGGGCACCTGACGTGAAGAATTGTGACTGTGAAACTGGAGCAGGTGAGACCACGATGAACCCAACTCCTGAATGGTTTGAGCTTCTCTTCCACAGTGTTACCGTGGTTTTAGTGCCTGGTGAGTTGTGTCTGCTCTTTATCTGTAAACAGTGCTGGAGTCACATCAGCAGTCTGACAACAATTCTATTTTTTGGGACTTTAGCTTTTAAATCTCTGCCGTACAAATATTCGCTCCGTTTTCCATGCAGGCTGCACGTCGGACAAACTGTAGCATCAGAGTGTTTAACGCTTTGTAATTAATTTATACCCGCATCAGCACCACAACTTCACATCCTTTGTACCGTGTCTGCATGCAAAGAAATGTAACAACGAACAAACGTGTCCTTCACACAAACCGCTCTGCAGCGCCATCGAGGCATTTTGGCGATCGAACCCGTTCTCCTGCCAGCGTTAATGCCTCGCCCAGCCCACTGACAAAAATAAATTAATTGCTTAGTCTATAAAATGTCCAACAGAATTTCCCAGAGCCAAAGTTAATGTACTGAAATGCATCATTCTGTCAGACTAACAGTCCAAAGATATTCGGTTTACAATGATTCTGAACACAGAAAAACAACAAATCCTCACATTTAAGAGGCTGAAACAAGTGCACGTAAATTACTTAAACAATTAATTATCAGGTACCTTTAATAAGTTACTTTTTTCTCCTGATTGACCATTTAGTTATTCAACTAATTGTTTCAGCAGTAGATGAAAGCAGTGGTTCTTCAGGATAAATCTCCACTGAGCTGCTCGGGGACTTTCCCGACAGCGTTAGTGTTTTCTTCTACTTTTTGTCACTACACGAGGGAGTTGCCGTAAATATCAAAGCAGCATGTAAATATATTTAATATATAGCCGTTTGCGTGAAATAAAGTGTTTGTTACGAACAAGAGATTCTGTTGACCGTACAAAGTTGCATCATTAATTGTGGCTGGATATATAATGCAGAAATGAAACGTTTCCTATTTTAATGTTCATGATAAAGTTTCCACTAAGAGTTGGACAGCACGTGGCAGCTTGGAGATCTTCGTCCCGCAGGATGACGGGAGGATGGAGAGGAAACTGACCTGCAAGTTTTTCCTTCTTTGACCTTCTGAGGTGATTCTCCCAAGAAACAAAAAGGCACCGAGCAGTTTGTTTGTTTTGTTCTGACTTGGAGAGGATTTCCGAGGCTTCACAGTTAGATCAGCCGGTGCCGTGGCTGCTGTACTCGAAGACGCCCTTCTTGAAGAACGGCGAGAACTCGCAGATGGCGTGTTTGGTGAGATGGAAACCGTCTGCGTCAGTTCTGAGAGGAGAGCCCGAGGACAACAGCATCACCCGGAACAAGTTCCTCAGATAACGCTGTAAAAAAACCATAGCAGCAGCACAGAGTCAGCTCCCCTTCCTCTAAACTTCTAACATTTGTATTTCTCAGACAAAGAGCTGGATAATTAATTAATTATATTGGGATTATTCTGACAGATATTACAGTTTGCAATATGATGCACGATTACTGGGAATGATCATTTTAGCATCACAATTTTTCTTTTCACTAAAAAAAATAAACTAAAATTTAGGGGTGAAACAAAGAATTGACGTATTTAATAATCAATTCGTTCATGACGTCATCGGGCCAAAGCAACAACGCCAGCTAAATGGAGGGAAATGATGTGAACGGTTAATAAAAAACACCACATCAGCGCTGGTATTAACACCTTCATGACCTAAAACCTCCACAAGAGTGGTAGCATTCGACTCTTCACACGGCCAAAAAGGTTGTGAACTGCAGCGTCTATGTGTGAGGCGGCGGCGGCGGCGGCTAATCCGCCCCAGACTCCCTTAAAAGAAACAGTTTAGTAAGTTGTGAGTTAGGGGAAACTATATAAACTTTGTGAAACGCTGTCTACTAAAATCGTTATTATTGGTCCCCTCTTATAAATTCGGCAACTGTAAGACAAAGTTATTCCTTTCTTTGTATAAATATAGTGTCAGTTTGTGTTGCAGTACCGGTGTGTAAGCTCCTCCGTCACTAGACTGCAGATCAGCTGTTCAGGTTAGCAGAAACGTTTTTTGAAAGCAATATTTATTTCACAATCTTGATAATTACCACATACAGTAAACAACCTCAGGTTTGATTTAAAAGCCGATAGCTAAAGGAGAGGCATTGTGTAATTTTGTGATTCGTAATCCAAATAGCCGATTATTCGTTTTAATAACTGATTGAATAATCAACTATCGAAACAGTCGTTAGTCGCAGCCCTACTTAAAATCATGTTTTCCATTACACGCTTGTGTATCTGTATTATCACGTTGAAACACAATAAACAAAGAAAATCATGAGGAAGTGACATTTGTTGGGTCTGAATAGGGCTGGACGATATGGCCAAAAATGTTATCACGATAAAAACATTTCATGTCATTCGATATCGATAATTATCACGATAAATGTCAAGTCATTATTTCTTTCAAGTTTAAAGGCTGATTTTTGCTCCTGACTGAAAATTGAAGAAACCAGATGGTTAATCATGTGGTCCAACTTTTCTTTATGGTCAGAATGGGACAAACACTTGATGCCAAACAGTGGATCACTCAACAAATCTGAGGGAGAACATTCAAAACTATTATGATAAAAACAATTTAACAAATTTGATTAGTAAATCTTTTTCAGTGCCTTTTCCTCAACAAAGTATATATTTTGATAGAAAAATGAAGTGCTAATTTGTTTTTGATTCAATAGAATTAAACCAAATATTTATTGACAATATATTGAACATTATATTGATATAGAGGAAAATTATATTGTGATAATTATTATTGTTTTATTGCCCAGCTCTAGGTCTGAAATGTGTTTTCTGACATCTGGAGAAGATTTGTAGGCCAGGCTGTCTCTGCTGTACAGTCACACACTTTACCTTCATCAAAACACTGCTGTGATTTGGATGTTTTGATTAATTCTGCAGCCCTAGTGAGAATCAAACTGTATTAAAATGTCTTGCCTCCAGGTGATTCCGACGCTCAGCGACCATCCGCTCGTCTCGGTTTCCAAACAGTTTCTTGGGAGGGAACTCGAGAGCGGCCAGCTGAAACAGAGACCATCGTGGACTTAAGTGACGTTAACAAAGACCAATACGGTTCAAATGTGAATATTTTGTTAAAGTGGATCAGAGAGTCTCACCTGCGGATATTTTAATTTGAGGCTCTTGTGCATTTCCCGGAAGCGGCTGTAACGTCTGAACACCGTCCACATCTCGTCCATCACGGTGATCTGATGAAAGAGACAAAAACAGCTGATGAAAACTACACAAAAAATCTACACATTTACACTTCAGTGTACGAAATCATGGGCATGACTCAGATATGATCCTTTCTAACCTTTGTACATGACAAAAGATTTTTACCAAACCAACAAAACTGGGTTCTGAGGCTTTCATGTACTGCAGGCAGACTTGTTTTAGTTCAATATTGGACCCATCAGTTTCCCGCCAAAACAAGCTTCACAGGAAGGTGCTAGTCTGTCAGTTTTAGATCAGCACAGAGCTCAGGTTGTGAGCCAGATTACAGGTTCACACAGCTAACTCACAAGATCCAGAGTACAGACGAACATTTACCAAAAATATTCAGTTTGTTAGGTACACCTGAACAGTCTGATACCATTCCAATACAACTGTTAATAAAGTTTTATTAAAAGGTTTCTGTTGACTCGTTAGTGACGGTATTGGACTGCATTATATTCAGAGGTGTTTCGAATATTCTGCCCCCTCGTGTATGTAAATTAGGGCTGTCCACGTTGAAGTTTGAGATTCATCTAGAAACCTTAACGCGATATTTATATAAATTAATCATATTATCAAGTTTGTCCCCAAATTCCTCCTGTAATTCTAGCGTGGGTTTTTACCTGCAGCTGAATTACTGCAAGCCGTGACAAACGCATAACACGAAGGCTGAACGGCGCTTAACTTAATTACATATATGTTTTCATATAACTGGGGATGTCTAAATAAAATGTAGTCCAGTACACCACCCACTTTAACTTGGACCTCAGTAATAAACAAATGAATTTACATATTCATTCATATGTTCAGCAAAAACTGAAAACTGAAACTGCGATAGATGTTATGGCAGAGCTGCTGTATTGGATTGCATTAGACACACAGGTACAGGTGTGCTTAATAAAGTGGCCACTGAGCAGCGGAAATTTACTTAAGTAAAATACATGCATCTCAAAATTATATTTGAGTATTTCCATTTTATGGTACTTTTATACTTCTACTCTACTACATTTTAATGAGAAACAATGTACTTTTTAATTTCAGTTATTTTGCAGATTCAGAATAATACAAAATATGATTTTTCCATGTTTTATTAAAGATTAAACTATCCAGCAATATATAAACTAGTTAAAATTGTCCCCACTTTTACCAGCTGCAACATTAAAGTGATTCAAACATAAATAAATCAATAATCCAAATCATTTAATACAAATTATTCTGACATAGGCCATTTTAATTTTGTAGTATAGAGTCTATTTTGATGCTAATACTTACTTTACTTGAGTATAAGCACTACACTGTGGTTTTACTACGTTTACCTAAGTATAAAGTATTTCTGCCACTGAGTTTGAGTTTAGAACCATAAAACCAGAATTTCGAGAAAAAAAAAAAATAAATAAAAAAAAAAAAAAAAATGAACTCACCTTCACCTCAAACTCAAAGTGCTCGTCCTTCCCCTGCCCGCGGAGAAAGTAACGAGGAATGCTAACTTTAACGGGCTCCTGGAAGCCATCGGCGCTCGTCGCGAGAGGACGAGAGACCAGGTGCTGCAGAGGAAGGAAGTCACCGGGAGAAAAAAAAAAAGACAGGACAAGAGAAGAAGAAGAAACAGGTGGAGAGTAAAGGGTTGACTGTGAAGGTATTTCTGAACTTGACTAAGAATGATTTACTATGATAGCCAAAAATAATCAGACGATAAGAATCGGACAAAGTTCAATCTTTATTAATCTGTTTACAAACGTAACATGTTCTTACGATGTGAAATTATTTAAAAGGTACATTAAACCTTCAAATACACACTATTAATATTCCATCAGACAAACCCTCCCTCTCTCTTCAAGTCAGCAGATCACAATCATTTTTCTGAAAGTTTTCTGCAGAAATCTAGACTAAACTTTAACATTTTGAACCAGATCAAAAAACAAACAAGAACACGACTAAAATCAGTAAACAGACAAGGACACAGATTAATTAATCTATGTCATTAATATGTAGAAATGGTTCATCTTCATCATTATGACTTCATATAAAGAGATTACAGTTATGCCAACACTTTCCTCATCTCACATTACAATCTCTCTGACCTGATGGCAAAATCACGCAATAACATTTGAATAATGGAGTGAAAAGTTTATAAAATGTTTAAAAACTGTTTTTTTAAAAAAGACTTTCAGATGTGTCCATTTTACTTTGGCACAATGACGAATCACCTTCTTGGACAATAACTCTGAACACTTTCTGCTTCTCCTGAACACAGGTAAAGCACACTGCATTTGTGAGTGAGTTCAGGTGAAACTGCCTTCAGGTGTTGTAACTCAGGTACACAGATGATTAATCAAGATCACAGCTTCTGAGGTGCAGCCGAAAGATAACTTCCAGGAGTCGCACCGACTGCTGTAATCCGAGACGGAGGGCACTTCAGCCGAGCAGAGCCTGGACTCCACCTTCCTTTCTTGAGTCGGTGGTTTGTGAGTTGCAAACGTGATTTCTAACACCAGCCAGCTGTCAGTCTGCCTCACGAGCAGGCATCTGATCTCCGATCGCTTCCGGAGTTCGAGCCCCTGAAACTGGGGCTGGGCGAGGACCATGCTGGAGCCCCGTGGCACCGGGTGAAAGACGCCATCCTCCCGGAGCAGAGCCACGTGAGTGTCCGTCAGGAGGAACTGAAAAATGGCGTCCTGATGCACGCGGGTGGAGTTCATGACCTTGACGCTGGTGTAGAGCAGAGGACAAATGTCTGCCATGGAAGGTTTGCCGGGACCATCCATGTTCCCGTGGATGATGTAGAGAAGGTCTGCGAGGACCCGCTTAAATCTGGAGGTGACTTGAAGACCGCTGTCCAGGATGATGTCAGGAACATTTGATGTCCAATCTAGAGAGAGGACCATGAGGTCATCAAAGAGTAATGGGTGTTGGTCAGTCCCTTCAGGGAACTTTTCAGGAGAAAGGGCCTTCAGTAACGCCTTACAGAATTCCTGGGTGAGCTCTTTGCTGTGGGTGAAGACGGCCAAGATGGTGTCCTGGGTGCAGTCCATTAGACGGACATGCTGCCCTGCCAAGCTAACCTCGACCTTCTTGATTTCCACGAGATTAAAATGGTGAAAAATCGCTAAGGTGTCATCTGAATTTGTTTTACTAGACAGCACTATTATGTCCTTTTCCGACAAAACCAAGCACCCAGACTTTGGAGTCGGCTGCTTGCTGTTGGCAGTTTTCAGCCAGAAGATGCTCAAAAGCTTGTTGAACTTCATTCGAGGAACCAGAGATTCCAGCATTTCTAGCATCTTCTGGGATGAAAGTGACTGCAGCCGAGACAAAGCTGGCGGCAGCTGGACCAGCCTCTGGTAAAACACTTCAGGACAGGCGTTTCTGAGAGACGACAGAGAGCCTTCGGGCCATCCCGAGATGCCCGGGATCGCAGACATGCTGCAATTCTGAGTAAGACCAAGGGTGCGATCCCTCGGCAGATCAACCAAACTGACTCTGTTTACAGGTTCTGGCTCCGGTTTAAGCCGCATTAGATGAACAAGTGGCAGCTCTTTGGACATCATGGTCACGTACCGAGAGAGTACAACTTTTATTTCATCTACTGGTACATTTCGAATGATGTCCCGTGTGCCCTGCAGCCTTCTACCAGCATCTTTGTATGCTTCAGACAGCTTTCCAGCAACATACCCCACAACATAGCCCCTGCTGGCTGCCACTTTCTCAGCTCCTGTGTCGGCCTCTTGTTTGATTTGACCATTAAAGGATTCTTTCTGTGACTCTGACAACTGATTATTGGAAATTTCTGCATCTTCTCCTATCCCCGAGTCACATGTCTGGTGTCTGACTTTGACCTGTGAGTAAGAAAGAGAGCGTCCATTTACCAGCAACTCTTTCGCTCCATCGTCAACCTTTTTATCATCATCAACACAGAAGGCCGAATCGTTTCTTCTTTCAGCAGTGATATTCTTGTTTTCATAAACTCCATTGGTCTCGATGTTTGCCAGGGTTTTGTTGCAACAGTCAAGTTCGCAAACAGCTCGGCCCTCGTCTCCTGGAGGGATTTTCACTCCTCCTCGCCACCATTTGTTTTTGTCACCATATTTGTAAGGCATTTTTTCAATCAAGACTTCAGCTGGGGATTCCAGTTTTTCTTCTATGTGAAGCTTTAAGAGGCAGTTCTCCGGTTCCTCCAACATGTTTTCTTCGATGTGAAGAGGGGAGTTTGCCTCGCGCTCCGGGGCAGGCAGGAAGCTAGACCACAACCCGCTGGCTCTCTGTGTGCACAAGGGGGAGTCGAAGAAGGACGTGAAGGCTCTTTGAATTATATTGCGTCCATAATCCACCCCATTGAGAATTACAGTTCCTCCATCACCAGGTGCACAGGTCAGTTGTAAGTGATTCGAAACAAACAGTGTGAGGAAGGTTTGGCATGCAAATTAGGATGATGTGTACAAAAAAATACTCTTAAAAACTTTAAATTCCAATCAAACGTGGGCAAAGTAGCATGTGCAAATAATTCCAATGATGATACCCTCCCTTTGTGACTGGATGGATGGAAGTTTCTGGCTCAAACTCCACCCATCTTGCACCTTGTTCGATTGGGAAAAAGGCATCTGCAAATACTATTTTACCCATGTATGATTGTTGCGAGCTAAAATATAACATTTTTGATCATTTCAAGGTGTTTTGTGTTTTGCTAGTTTGCTTTCCATTTCTGCTACCGTCTTAAAAAAAAAAAACAAGGAGGAGAATGAGCTTCCATTCCTTGGTTCTTCCAAAAATAAAAAAAGAGAACTCAACTGTAACATTCAGAGTTCACAAGTCACAAAATTCACTATTTCAGCCTCCATCTCGTACTTTCAAAACCCCACTGGAGTGACTGATATTAGTGCCTGGAATTCTAAAACAAAATTGTGTCTGTGTATGCCTGTTTGGCAACCCTTAAAGATTTAATATGGAAACCCATTCACAATTTCTTGAATTTTCTAAAATTATGAGGAATCATGTCAAGATTTCTTTATATTTACATGTAATTTGTACCATGCATATGAACGATAACAGGCATATTTTTTATACAATGCAAAGTATACGGAACCCTTGTCATTGTAAAATCATAACAGGATTAGAGATTTTTAATGATTCATTTAAATTAAATTAGAATATAATCCTAAAACCAAAATAGGATCCTGATCTTACCTCATATTTAAGCCTCCTTGGATTAATGTTTTGCAGCTTTTCATCATCCTGAAAACAATAAAACTAAACATCAACTCTCAATAAATCTCAATAATATAGTGAATATTCTTAAACTGATTAATGTATATTATACTTCATGATGACAGTGGGAAAAAAAATAAAGAATTAAACCAGGATAAATAAAAAAGGTGCAGAAGAACCCAGTTTAAAGAACTACAACCCAAACTGATTGATGGAAGAGTGGATCCATAACCGTATTTAGGAAAGTCATGCAGATTACAGAGCAGGGAAAGTCTCACTGGGACATTCAGAGCAAGCAGAACCTGGTCTTACCTCATCTGTTAATCTAACAGAGCTAGAGTCGCTAACATCTTCCTCCTCCTGCAGGGTTAAAGAGCTAAATATCAGTTCTACACAGAGAAAAACGCTTCTGACGGCAATCTGTCACTGGACCGGCTGCACTTTTTACTTTTATGAGTGAAATAAGAATTTTAAAATTTAAATGAAGCCCCAGATGATGATGTGTTAAGTCTACAAAACCTTACCAGCTACAGCTAGAACTGGCCAGTGCTGTAAAGCAGCCGGATCCTTTACTTCAACTGGAGAGAAACCCCGGCCTTTCTTGGCTTGAACAGACCACACTAACTATTTTCTGTCCATAATCGCAAAACGATCACAAGACTTTTTAGGCTGCAACTACAGATTATTGTCATTATCAATTAACCTGCCAATTACTCAATTAATACTTTGGGCCATCATACACCAGTAAACAGTCCAAGCCCATGTCTTCAGATAATATTAAAACACAGAACAGCAAATTCTCACATTTAATCGATTACCAAAATACCTTGAGCGATTCACAGGACAGAGACAGGTCCATGTTGCTGCTGCTGCCGTTCAGAAGATTCATCTTGCGTAACCGTCGCTGGACTTCCTCCTCAATGTACGCGTTTATCCTGGTGCATATTAATGAAAAACCAACGTTAGCAACAATGTCAACAAATGGATAAGAAACCAAACGCTTGATGGAAAGATCAATCCTCAAATCCTAACCTAATTAATCAGTGACAGTACAAAGAAACAGATCTACGTGTTGAGACGAAAGTACGAAAGTTAAAGGATAATTTCAGTACGTTTTAAACCTGGACCCTGTAGACGCCGGTGGAAACGAAGGAGGGGAGTTTGTTGTGTACGAAGAGGAGCTACTGGCAAGATTTTATGTCCTTACGTTACGCCAACTTCTCTCTGACTCAATGTTTCCACAGGCATCTTCCTGCAACAACTCGCCGCTCACAAGATTTTAGAGCGAGACTTTTTATACCTGCTAATCATTTTAACAAAATAGGGCCCAGGTTTAAAAATACTGAAATAATCCTTTTAAATCTGTATGAAAAGCAGCAGCAGCAGAGGCCCTGCAGTTTTAAGGCAGCAGAGGTCTGTGGGGTACCTGTCCTCTGACAGCGGCAGCAGGGTGTTCAGACTCTGGATGTGGCTGACCGGGGAACTGTTGTGACTCGTCTTCTCATCCATACTGGTGGAGTGAGTCCTGTTGTTTTCTTCCCCTTCACTGATCCTCTGTCTCAGCTTCTGGATCTCCCGCTCCACTCTGGAGGGGGAAAAATAAAAAATAAAATAAAAATAACAGGACTATGAGCAGCAGCACCACAGATTTTCTGGCATTTTCACGCCAGTGTCAGTACAAACAGGAGGGGGCAGCACAAAGTGAGGAGACAGTGTGTTGATGGAAAATGGGATTTAGAAGAAAAAATCTAAACCATTACATGCTTCTGTTATCTTTTTCTTTTAAATCAAAGTGAACCAAAACGTGCTGGTTTCAGCGCCTCATACAAATTTATTTATTTATTTATTTAGTTTGACCTTTAATGCATACAGGTTTTATTGTTAGACGATGGTCATTTAAAGTTTTTATCACTTGTTTGTTTTTGCTGTTATGTCCTGTGCTTCCTCCTTTTGTTTGCGGGTGTTATTTAAGTATGTTAAAATAACAAGGTATTGAATCTAAAATTGAACACTCCCGTTCTCCCGCAAAAGGATTTTTCAGACGTTATTGCCTTTAACAACTTATCACTGTGTTAACTACCTGGTTAATCACGCAGCTTTATAACTTCATTTAACTCTTAACTATCTGCTACAATATATATTGTATATCTGTACGTTTGTTAAGTTTTATCACACGGCTCTGACCTCTGCTGGTCCAGGTCGGCCCCCGTCCTCAGGTTCCTGATGGCCGAGCTCTTGTGTTTCTGCTCCTCTGTGTCGGGCTCCAGGGAGACGCTGCGCCTCAGGGCCGAGTGCCTCCTCTCCAGCCGGGCCACGGCCTGCTCCATCGCCTCCCTCTGCTGCTTCTCCTTCGACTCCAGGATCTCCTTCTCCTTCCTCCTCACCTTCTCCTCCTGCCGCGCCACGTTGGCCGTGAACTCGTAGGTCTCCTGGAGCTGCTGGAGCTGCTGAGCGCTGTGCCAGTGGACGTTCAGTTTCTCCTCTTTGTCCTCCAGCTCCTTCTCCACCTGGTACAGCGTGTTGTCGAGCCCCGGCGGGCTGTCGCAGTTCCCATTGCTTCCTCCGCCGCTGCGCTCCAGCATCTCCATGGCTCTCTGCTTCTCTTCGGCCAGCGCCGGGAGGAGGCCGCCGGTCACGTTTGCCAGCTGGCGCTCTTTACACTGCAGTCTGTGCTCCACCTGTTTGACCAGCTGCTCCTCGTGGCACACAGCTGTAGCGTCCTGCGCCCCCTTCTCCTGCGCCTCCTTCAGCTGTTGTTGCCGTTCTTTGAGGCCGTGGCCGAGGAGCAGCAGTGTGTTACGCTCAGCAGCGACCTCTTTCTCTAGGTGCTCCCTCTGCTGCCGGAGCCCCTCCTCCAGCTGGCCCAACTCCTTCACCTGAGCCTCCTTGAAGTCTGTGTATCGGGCCTGGGCAGATCTCGCCTCCTCCCTGGCATCCTCCACATCTGGTCGCTCCCCAGCCTCTTTGGCACGGAGGAGAGCTTCTCTGATCTCAGCCAGGGCTCGGCGTTCCTCCTCCATGCGACGGGCGTCCTCCCGGATCAGGAGGGTGGTGGCCGCCTCGTGTTTCTCTCTCAGCTGTTCCTCCAGCCTCCCCACTAGGCTCAGCTGCTCCCTCTCCTGCTCCTCCAGCCGCCGCCGCTCAGTCTCCAGACGAACCCTCTGCTCCTCGCGCTCCCTCTTCAGCCTCTCCAGCTCGCGGTAGATCTCCGTCTTCTCTGCCGCCTCATGCTGCCGCCGCTGCTCCTCGTCCTGCACCTCCTCTGCTTCACTCTCCTGCAGCCGTTTCCGCTGCTGGAGGTCCTCCCCCTGGATCTCCGAGCGCCTTTCCTCCTCAAAGCGCTCCTTCTCGGCCAGGAAGTCTCGAAGGCGGCTCTCGATGTCCTGGCTGCGGTGGCGGAGGCTCTCCTCCTGCCGCAGGATCCGCTGCTGCACCTCCTCAGACTCCTTACGCTGACTCTCCACCTCCTGCTGCAGGCGCTCCAGCTCTGCCTTCTCACTCTGGTGCTTCGCCTCCATCTCCTTTATCAGCCTCCTACAGCAGCAACATACTCAAGCATTAACATACATAAATTGCAGGGTTGTGACGAGACACTTCAAATCTCATTTCTTGAGCCAACACTATTTAAAAAATGCTGAATTTTGAGCATTAAACAGTTACCATTCTGTAACACTCAGTGTGAGAGGGAGGTTCACTTGGTCTCCATCAGCTGTGCGGAGTTTATTTGCTCCGCGAGTCGACGTTATCAGTTTTCCATTTGTTTTTCATTGTGTGAAACAAATGTATGTGTGCCGTGGAATAAGATCTCGTCACACCCCTAATACATGATTTCTTGATGATGACTTGAGCTTGAACAGGATTTCTCCTCAACAGTCCAAATCTTTTGCTGCTAACTCAAAAGTGTTTGAGCTTTCTCATCATATAAGAGTGCAGCATTTCTCTTGTTTCTTTGATACTTTCCCACAAAAGGTGAATTAATTATTAGGTTTTCTAACTTCAGTCACAGAACCAAGCAGAAAGTTAAATGTAATTAATTGATTAACAGAATACAGATTTGATTACCAGAGTCAATGCAGAGAACAAGTGTGATAAAATTCAACCGAACATTAATCCTATGATTCAGAACATGGTCAAGTCTTTCATTAGTCTTTGAGAAAATACCTTTTCAGCTCCAGTTTCTCCAGCTCTTCTCGCTGCTGTCTCTCAAACTCCAACCTGTAAAACACAAAAACTTTCCATTAAGCTTCCTTTAGCCACAAAGTGCAAAGACACACACACACACCTCACCATTCAACACAACAGCTACTAAAGTGCAATGAGTGAAAGCAGCAGTCAACGAACAACATGACAGGCTTCAAATGGAAATCTAGGCGATGTGCAAAAAGCAATGATACATTCTCTACTCTCAGACGTCAAAATGGAGACAGAAGCAGCAAAGTGAAGTGCAAATGCAAACTTAAAACAATAAAAAAGGACAATGAGGGATCAGGTTGAGAGACTGGACTAGTCAACACACGTCTTTGTGTCAAAAACGGGACAGTTAGACAGGAAGTGGACGGCTGAGTCTACCTGAGGAAGACGGGGCCCTTCTCAGTGAAGAGACTGTCAACAAGACGGGGTTGATAGTTAATTCCAGCGGGCTTTGTACAGATTAAAAGAAAAAACTGTGTGCTTCATGATCCAACAAAACACACTGCTGCTTACACAGAACAGGTTCTGTTCTGGACAAACATAAGATGACCGACCAAAATAAACAAGAGGAAATTCTCCCTTTACATTTGTATGTGTGAAAAAATAATCCTTGAAACACTGAAATATTTGACTAAAGTTAACCAGATTACACTGAGAAAAACAAGCTCCATTTCATAATAATTTATACTTGTGTTGAGTCTACGCCACAGTCGGCGGTGTAGACTACACGCCGTGATGAGCATTTAAACTTGTACGTTGGTGTCCGAGTTACCTGACATTACACCACCAAAACGTTAGTTGGCGGTATTATTTCCATGTGCCACTGTTGAGTTTCTTCTTCTTTGTTGGAGTAGGCTGCTACCATAGACTGTATATAAGAAGTGGACGTAGTCATCGTGACGTCACCCGTTGGTTTGTGGACCGCCATTTTGAAGCCTCGAGTTTGGCCGATAGGACGCCACCATGTTGAGTTTTTGCAACCAGCAACACGGGACGTGACCTGATTTGGACGAGACGTTGGAGCTAACAGCTGTATGCGGAGCTAGCTAGCTTGCTTAGCTAGGTGCAACTGTAACTGGGCATTTTTGTCATTTTAACAGGGCTGATATCTTTGTCTAGCGAACAACAGTCTTAAAACTAAATGTACTCACCAGAGAAAGTGAACAGCTGACTCCTAATAAGCTTTTTAAATGGTGCTGGTTAAATTTACACAGTGCCGTGGGTACGAGTCACTAACTTGACAGGTTGCCATGGTAATGACTTGTCAATCATAGATAATCCCGCCCTAAAGCCTCCCCTGCTTTCTGGTCTATGTTCCTCTAAATGGGACCATAATTTACTAAATGAACATCATGCTGTGTTAAAGAAGACTTTAAACTAGCGACTGACACCATAAACTTATCAGGAAAGTGTTTACTGAGGGAATAAATCAGCTGAGAAGGAGCCTCATTTTATCATTATTTCTAATGGAGCCAGACTGGAAGCTTCCCGCTTGGCTGCTACAAACAACGGCAACTGAAACTGAGCAGATCGTGTTGGCGTGGGAGCTGATCGATGCCGAACATGAGTTACTTTTAGTGAAAGACATCGGAGGAGATATGTACGACATGTGGAGGAGAAGGAGAAGGAGAAGACTATGACGGAGAAGGAGAAAACGCGTAGGAGGAAATACGACGCTACCAAGCCGACCAATCACAGTTCTTGCAGTCTGCATCGCTGTGACATATAGTTACATTTTTTGGGGAGGTGAGCGACAGGCTGCAGTGTAGATTCAACACGGAAGTATAAACTGGCTTTTAGTGTTCATCCTCTGGAGGCGTTTAACATTTACGTTTAATGTTCAAAAACATCACCAGACGTAACCTTTAAGGCTGTACTGGTGCAACATGTTTGTCGTGTCCAGCAGATTTTCTCAAACAGAAAACATTTAACGCTACCTTGATAAACATCAAGAAGTCAAAACTATGTTTGATAAGGAGCTCCAGACGGAGCCCTGTGTGCTGAAACAGATCATCTAGTAACTGAACTCTGGAAATTCATCCTGGTTTTCTAAAAGTTTTGACTCTCATCTCTTTTTCCTGCAGAATCCATCCGTTTCTTCATGATCTGTGAATCTTGAATTTTTGAGACACATTTTTTAATTAAGCACTTTGTCAGTGCTGTACAAATGCAGATAAACTAATTTGATCTGCAGCATGCTGAGACCAGAAGCCCTGAAAACAGAGAGCCTGAAGTCCTGAAGTGGTCTGGATGCAGAGGGGGAGATGCACTGCAGGATCTGCGCTAGGGCTGGGCAATAAAACAATAATGATAATTATCGATATCGAATGACATGAAATGTTTTTATCGTGATAACATTTTTGGCCATATCGCCCAGCCCCAGTCTGAGCTGATAATCACATGCAGCAGCTGCTGTTATTTATGTGTTTATACACTCACCCGGGGTTGTAGAGCATCACAGTGGACAGGTTTTCACAGGACTTGGACAGATCCGTCATAGAGAGGCTGAATGTAGAGAGCAGGCCACTCTGAGGAGAAGGTAAAGGTCAAACATCAGTCTCATTGTGAAAACCGCTTCAGTGAAACCTTCAGGTCCTAAAGGAGGAGAGCCGGTCTCACCTTCCGTTTCTCCCTCAGCCTGGCTGCCTCCTTCGGATGGTTGAACCGAAACATGTTCGTCCTGCCGAGCAGAATAACAGCACCTGGACGACAACACAACAACTGAAAACTGTACAGGGCAGACTCCTCTTTCACGCCTGAAGTTTAAACATGTTTATTTTAAAACAGTCGAGACAACGTCCTCTCACCTTGGTTGAGCTGCGACGGCTCCGTCACCTGAACTCCATTAACTGAACACTGAGCCCCGCCGAGCGGCACCAGAGTCACTGTACCGTTCTGGCTCTCAAACATACAGTGTTCACTCTCCAGGTCCAGACCATGCAGGGCTGCAGGAGGAACACACAGCAGAGACATGGATACGACTCACTGCCAAACACCTTCTGCACAATTACAATATATAAAGTTATAGAGCTAGTGTTTAAAAGAAATGGATTGAAAAGAAGGTTGGGCAATAAAACGAAATTTATAATTATTGCAATATGATTTTCCTCATTAAGAATATAACAAATACATGTTTTATTTAATTCATTTGAATCACAAACGAATCAGCACTTAATTTTTTTATTAAGATATTTATTTTGTTGTTGGAGAAAAACTAATTTGTAACAGATTAATACTTGCCATCTAGTTTATTATTTCTTAAAACACTACATTAGAGATCAAACACTGCTTATACACTATATAGCCAAAGGTTTTGGGTCGCCTGCCTTTACATGAACATGACGGTTAATGACATCCCATTCTTAATCCGTATTTAATATGGAGTTGGCCCTCCCTTTGCAGCTATAACAGCTTCAACTCTTCTGGGAAGGCTGTCTACAAAGTTTAGGAGTGTGTTCATGGGATTTTTTGACCATTCTTCTAGAAGCACATTTGAGAGTTCAGGGCACAGATGTTGGACAAGAAGGCCGGACTCGCAGTCAACCAAAGGTGTTCTATCGGGTTGGGGTCAGGACTCAAGTTCTCCACACCAAACTTGCTCATCCCTGTCTTTATGGACCTTGCTTTGTGCACTGGTGTTCATGCTGGAACAGGAAGGGGCCATCCCCAAACTGTTTCCAAAGTTGGGAGCATGAAATTATCCAATACAGTTCCTTTCACTGAAACTAAGGGGCAAAGCCAAACCCCTGAAAAACAACCCCACACCATACCCCCCCCCGCGGCGCCGTGCTGTACACCACTGCATCTTACACTTTGCATTGCACTTGGTGATGTAAGGCTTGGATGCAGCTGCTCGGCCATGGAAACCCATTCCATGAAGCTCTATACGCACTGTTCTTGAACTAATCCAAAGGCCACACGACGTTTGAGGGTCTGTAGCTACTGACTCTGCAGAAAGTTGGCATCTTCTGCACACCGTGCGCCTCAGCATGCGCAGACCCCGTTTTGTGATTTCATGTGGCCTACCACTCCGTGGCTGAGCTTCTGTTGTTCCCAATCGCTTACACTTTGTTACAATACCACTAACAGTTGACCGCAAAATATTTAGTAGAGAGGAATGAATGGAATTATTGCGCAGGTGGCTGAGTTTTATGTGGGCATGTATTGGCTTATATTTCCTTCGCTTTTCTGTGGAGCATTTCCAGTGAAATGAAATGTGCCGTTTTAAAACGGATTGTTTGCTTGTTTGTTAATGTTGTTGTAACCTGTGAAGATGGCGTTTGTCTTCTGCTGCAGCTTATTAAAAAGCATTCCTCCTAGTTGTTGATAAAGAACAGGTTCATACTGTATGACAATCTGTTGGAAACACTCACTGATGTCCTGCTCGGTGGACGCATCCTCTCTGCCCACGTATGTCCGTCCCTCCTGAGGTGAAAACAGAAAAAGCGAGAATTTTTTATTCCCAGTACTTTAAAAAAAAAAAAAAACACAGCCTGTGGACTTAAATATCACTTTCACTTCCATCCTGATATGAGCAGAGACAACACTTGGTGAAACATGTTTTAAAGACAGAGTACATAATAAAGTTTGTGAGAGCTGTTTGTCCTGTCCAACAGGTGAAGTGCTTCGGGTTATTTCTGACCTTTAAATGGTACAGGATGATGCCGGTACTGAGGAGGTCGTCGTCGATGCCGATGAGGTGAGGCAGCTCAGAGTCCAACACCACACCGATGCCCTCTTTCCTCAGAGCTAGAGTCTCCTCCTGCAGACACAAATATGATTTCAGCTCTACTTTCACAAAAACAATCAAGCTTGCGCACAAAGACAAAAATGATCAGCCAGATTTAAAGCTCCGTTTGTGTAAACACCACCACATGTTTTTAGGTGACAAATGGAAGACCAAATTTAAAAGATTCAGTACAACCGTCTCCTGCCAAGCACACATTGACAGAGGTTGTTGGTTTCCAAAGGTTAAAACCAAGCAGTTGATAATAAACAAACGCGCAATCTTACCTTGAGAATATTCTGCGTCTCGTTCCATTTGTTGGTCCACTCTTTAGTCAGCTCCAGGACCTGCAAACACAAAACAGCACAAATCAACAGAAACCAGGAGGAAAACTCTTCAGCTGAAGACTCTTATGCTCATGTTTGATCAGTTTAACAATGTTGTTGCTGATGGCCTTATTTCTAATATTTTGCTATTGTCAAGCACTTTGGCACCTCAGTCTGTGAAAGGTGCTATGCCATGTTGGCCCTGCTTGGACTTAAGGCTGCTCCTAAAGGTCTGTTCTGGACAAAGCGAGACTCATGTTGGCCATGCAACAGAATTCAGAGACTGTTGCCCACATCTTTACAGAGACCTGGGGCCATTTATCAAGCATCTCAGAATTACTTATAAGAACACTGCTGAGAATTCAGTGCTGCTGACCTTAAAAGTTAGTTATCAAGCATCATAGTCCTAATTTGAGTGAGGTGCAGGACTAAATCTTAAGTGTCTGTCTGGGAGCTGATTCACGACACTTTGCTGTGCTGCAAACAGGACTTCGGATGATGATGTAGCCAAGGACCAACCACTGAATAGATTTCCTTATTTAAGAATATTCAATTATTAAGATACACAATAAAATAATTGTTGGGAAGTCAATGAAACGCATGACAGTGTGTGGAGCTGTAGGTGCCATTTTTCCTGTGGCAAATAAATAAAGAGTCATCCCAACCTTCAATTTAGCTGAAAATGTATTTCTGCGTAAAGTCAGAGGTGAGATGACGTCCCTCACACACCAGCTGACAAAGACGATGCCTGCGCTGTCCGACCCCGTCTTATTAACTGCTGTCACAAGCCCCTAGTGGCAGCCCCTAACCACCTGAGAGACCTCTGGAGCTCTCTTAAATACCTGGAGTGTAAGAGTGATTTTTAGCTTTAAGAAATTTGATAACTTGCTTTTATTCTTAAGTTTGAAAGTAGGAGTAAATTTCATGAATTCTCAGCGCTTAAGCTTGATAAAGACCGGCCCTGCTGATCAACATCCCAGATCAAGCACTAGGCAGGCAGTCCGTGTTCAGAGCTGTCAGAGCACAAGACTCCAGCCAGATGAGAGGAGGTAGACTCATCGATGATGTTTGGTTCTCAAAATGGACTCTGTTTCCCAAATGTCAGACTTTTAAATGTAAAGATGAAACCGTGTTATCATCTTGTTGCTGCTGTTTACATTCTCCCCATTATATAAGTAACTATGTTTTTTTTATTTTATCCATTTTATCTGTAAAAATATTTTAATACACATTTACTTAAGTGGCATAAAGGAACTACAAACTGTCTTTTGTACAACCTTGTGTTGTGTAATTATATAGAACCTTGATTAAATAAACTTTACTTGCTTACTATATCCTGTTCACATGAACTTTAAATAAATGTCGTGTTCGGTGCAGCAGTTTTCAAATCAGGTGCTGCAGTGGTCGTGTTTTTCAACCTTTCCAACAAGCAGGTTCAAACCAATGAGAACATCATGAGACTCACTCTGGCTTCATTCTGGTGCAGTTTCTCCTCCATACTCAGAGCAGTGGGCGAATCCAGGAGAGCAATCTGACCCAAACACAAACACACGGGTCAGAAACACCTTGACTGGGCTGACTGTTTTACAATTATAATGCTCACTATTGTTCAAGCCAGTAGCAAGTTACAGACAGAAAACCACAATTAATCAAAATAAAAAATTAACTAAAGAGGCATTAAGTCCATTTTCTTTACAGCGATCTCCAGAATTCAGTCCAACTACGTAGGTAGGAAACATTTTATAGCCTTTGTTCATTTCACTGTTGCTCCCCCAACCTGTCGTTTCCTTTCATCCCTTTGTTTTACCACCAGATTCCCTCTGAATAATCCTCAGTGGACGTCCCTGAATCTGTGCAGACAGACAGATACTGTACCGAGTCTCTGTGGCTTTATTCTGCTCCGTCAGTGCTTGTTACCTGGTTGCCCTGAACCAGCAGAGCTTTCAGTCGGGCGATCTCAGCCCGCAGTTCTCTGATCAGCCTGACGTTGCCGTCCTCGTTGATGGTGGGTTTGTTGATGATGTTCTTGGCTCGGTTAGCGTATCGCAGAGTGCTGAGCGTCTCGCCGTAGTTCACGTCGGCGGGGGAAACAGCTGCAACAAGAAATTATTTTAAACATCAAATACACATCAGTTCTTTTTGAAAAATGTTAAATGATTGCGTGTGATTTCATGTTTTTGCTTCTCACTGGCGATCATGATGGTCTTGGAGTTGCCACCCAGGCTGTCTTTCAGCAGCCACGTCAGCACGGAGTCTCTGTAGGGCACGAACCCAGACTTCTTCTTCAGGTTGGTGTTCACTCCGTCCTGCGACATGTCGGCTGCACAGAAACGGGAAACAGATGTTCAGTCGACAAACAAAGTGAGCCAAAAATACACACAGACGAAATTTGAAACAACACAGAAAGCACTTCAGATTTATTATCTTCTGTTTCTGACCCAGAGAAGAGATGACGTTGCCCAGGGTGACGAGCGACTTGTTTATGTTCCCTCCCTCTTTCAGGCGGACGCCCGTCGCGCCAGTGGCGTCAGCTCGCTCGCTGCCGGCCAGATCGACCAGGTGGATCTTACTGACCGTCTCACTGGGCATCTCTGCATCGAACTTAGCCTGACAGAAAGAGAGCGATACAAGATGCAATTATGTCTAACTGTACGAATGAAATGATTTTCAATAAAACACAAAATCAGATTCAGTTTCTATGAGGGATTTTGGCACAGAAACAGAAGCTCATTTGCATATCCTCCACATAGTTTCCACACAGTTTGTACACCGATCAGCCATAACATTATGACCACCTGCTGGCCACGGTCATCAGCATCAACTTTTTCAGCAGTTTGACCTACAGCTCGTTTGTTGGATCGGACCACCCGGGCCAGCCTCCCTGTGTGCGTCCATGACCCTTTCGCCGATTCAGCACTTTTCCTTCCTTGGACAGCGGTTGATAGGTACTGACCTCTGCAGACCGGTTTGGAGACGTTCTGACCCAGTCGTTTAGCTTAAATCCTCATGCTTGCCCATTTTTCCTGCTTCTAACACGTCAACTCTGAGGACACAATGTTCACCTGCTGCCTGATATATCCCACCCACTGACAGGTGACATGGTAAAGAGGTAATTAATGTTGATCTGTCAGTGGTCATAATGTTATGGCTGATCGCTGTATAGTTTATGGTGACACAATCTGCCTACAATGACCTGTGGTTGAAAAGATATGTTTTTACGTATTTAAAAAAAACTGTAGCTATTCTCGACAAATACTCTGCATTATTATTACAAACTTTCAGTCAAAACAAATGAGACTTCAGTTCAGTGACTGTCAACCTGAAAAAAAAAAATAAAAAATTATAAATAGCCATAACTGACACTATCATTTTCTCGATATGCTGTTTTGCCTTTACGTAATTAATCTCAGGTCCCAACACAGAAAACCTGTACTACCAAAAAGTTAAAGCACTTATTTTTAGAGACTTTCTCCCTCTGTGGTGTCGAGTTTCCTCCACAGAAATATTTACATCCTTAACTCTCTAAACAGTTTCTGACCTGTGTGAAGTTGATGGTGAAGATGGCGTGAGAGCGGCTGCTGACGTCGTTCATGTCGGTGCTGGCGGTGGTGCGGTTGATGTTTCCGGCCTCCATCAGCTCCTCCACGTCACTGTAGTTCTGCACCAGGTGTTTGGACAGATCTGAGATCAGGACAGAGGGAGCAGGTCACAGGAAGTAAACAGGTAAACAAAACGCTGAGAAATCACGTTAACCAGGTGCATGTTCATCTCCTTTAAAAGCCTTAAAGAGGTGGTATTCTGCTTTTTCCCCTCTCCTTGATTGAGTTAAATACCTTTTTTGTGCATGTAACAGGTTTGCAAAGTGAAAAAGCCCAAAGGGAGTTCCCATCTCCCACAGAAAACTCTGCTCTGAAAAACTCAGCTCGTTTGTAGTCCAGCCGCTTCCCTTATATGAGGCGCATTTAGCTTCATGAAAGCTAAATGCGCCTCATATAACACTCGCCAAGCGGCTACTCCGACACGCCCTCAAAAACAGTGAGCTGCAGCACACAGCTCTTCTCTCCCTTCCAAACACTAGCTACCCTCCAGGCAGTCAGTGGACATAAAATTGTTCCTGTGATGTAGAGACAGAGCTCAGTTAAAACTTTATGGATGAAAGACACATTTGTTACAGATTAATTACCACTTTGAAACTCTTGCTCCAGTCCATGTTGCCAAGCTGGTCGGCAACATGTACAGCTGAACCGAAGCCGTGTTTACCGAGAAGGGTCCAGCTGCGGCCCGCAGACAAACGTGACAGAAGTTGAACTTCCATATATGGTTTGTCCCCTAAGCCACCGCCTGCAAAACGTGATGATGTTTATCTCGGCAGTTCGGCCCACGCAGAGCCATTAAAAAAAAAAATAACAAAAGACCCGATAAATAAGTGTCAACCAATCAGTGTACATTATGTGTTAAAATTTACTCGATACTATAATTATATAATATTATTATAGTATATTAATACTGTAAATATGTATTTATAATAGCGTAATGATAATAAAGCAATGTTTCAATTCATACTGTTGTAGATTTTATTTGTTCCAAAGTCATTTTAAGTTTCAAGAACCAAGAATATTCTGTACATCAAGAGCCAGATATATCTTGATTTAGGTTAAAACTTTACAACATTACTGAGAATTTAATGATAGAATAGCGTTACGAACATTGACACTATTGTTCAGCAGTTGCTGGACACGTCTGCTGTGTTGGGCTGCAGTGGTCTGGAGCTAACTAGCACCAGCTGGCTAACAATTCCTGACAGCCCCCCGAAGTATATTGCTCTTACCCTAACCATCACAGGGTGTGTGCCTAAAGTTATTGATTGTATGCATGTCAACTGGTTATCGTTAACCCTACAGTGGCGCAGACAGCACTAACCTCCATTATGTTGCTGGGCAGCCTCCACTAACGTTACTGCAGCTATATATTGACACCCGCTGGCACTTGTCAACTCCGAAAACGTTTGAACACATTTTTGATTCACCGTCAATTTTCGTCAGACTGCCGATATTTGACTTCTACACAGTTGATTTCTCGCCTCAAAACTTCTCAGAAGTGTATTTAAAGTTCTGTTGTTGGCTTCTAAAGAATAAGACAGTTAACATTAGGATCTATACTGTACCTAAACATTCATGGCAATAGGCCTGAGAGAGAGAGAGAGATCTCTCATCTCATGAAAACAAGTTTCTGCCGCTAAATATCAAAGTTTCCTCCTCACCAGAGGAACAGGTGGCCAGGCAACAACTATCACAATAGAAAGTAAACTCAATTCCGCGTCTTCATTCCCCTGCAGCAAAGTCGCGAACATCAGCCCAAGGATCGGTAAGTGATGTCACCGTCGCACGGAAGCGCTTCCACCAGCTGCACATACAGGTCCATGTGTGGCGGTGGCGTCACTTACTGATCCTTTAGAAATGCTTGGGAAAATGGTGCGTGCGTGGAAGCTACTCGGTCAATAAAAGAGCTTTGATTTGATCTGATTCAGAAAACAGCGACGCTACCACCAAGCTACTGAGAAATATAGTTAAACTAGTAACAGAGCTACTTGTAGCGACGCTACTGCTCAATACTGCTCGTACGGTGGGCATGTTGAAGCAAGCTCGGTGGCAGTAGGGCGCTGAGACTTTTACCTCCATGAGCCACGTCTCTATACATAACCGGCGTGAACTAGTGTTTGCATCACCACAGCCAATTACAATCACTTTTAGATTTGGGCACGTCAAGCATGCTGCACGCTTATTGGCTCATTTACGTTAAAGAACCTTTAGGTATCAAAATTTGGTGCCGAAAGACAAGACATTTTTTGATACTCGATGGTATTGAGGCTATTCGGTCGGTGCCTAAAAAGTATTGAACTCGATACCCAGCCCTAGCAGTATGAAAATTTTTAAGATTCTAAGTTAAGTTTAATTTGAAAATTAAACCATGTAAACCTGTTCTGGTACAACCTCTAAATAAGATTTTGAACCTAAAAATTATATATACATATACTGAACCCACTGCGAACACAGTAAAACTGGAACTGAAATCAGGATGCATAATAAGTTAATAACAAATAAGACTTCAACCAAACTCATGCAGATAAGTTCGAGAACTAAAAGTAAAATACAACTCTCCAGTAGAGTTTTGGTGGTGAACTCTGACTCTCACCTTCTACATACGGTCCGTCCTTTGGATGCTCCCTGACTCTCAGGTTGTAGGTCTGAGTGGATTTCCTCCTCAGCAGGTCCCTCACCCTCTCGTTGTAGATCTCCAGGTAGCTGAGGGAATAAACCAATCCCAGCTCAGCGCTCTGTATCTCAGGTTTGTCCTGTTATATTGACTTTTCTTCTACTTGCCTTGAAACACTAAAACTGCAGGACTGAAATAATAAAGCGGGGTCACATCCCCCTCAAATGGTGCAAAACAGGTTTATATCATGTGTACAAACAAGGTGTTTTGGTCGGCAGGCCACAGTTCTTTGTGTTCCGTTACTGTGGGGCAGTTTTCCCCCTTTTCTATTTGTTAAGATCATCCCTTCTTGTGTTAACTGCAGAGACAACTGTGATTTAATCTGAGCAGTCAGCCTCTGTGCCTCTCTCATGTTAACGTGTGTGATGGTTAGCCTAAAAGTTCAATTATGTTGTGTTATGTTTGAGGGATTAGATTAGTGAATTTGTTCACATGTCTGAACACTAGGTGTTACGGGTGGCTGCTAACATGCGTTTTATTCTTTACAGGTGAGATTAGTCCAGCCAGGTAGCGTGTTAGTGCTGACAGGTGAAAACGATGACACAGCCTTTAATATGGAAAACCCTCCAATGAGCACAGAGCGTGAAGGTGTAGTGGTCAGAACAATAAATAGCAGCTTCTCTCCTGCATATGAAGATAAACAGCACTTTCAATTCTGGTCTCACCTGACTTCGGCACGAAATGAAGCTTCGTCCCATCGACTCGACGTAGCGATACGGCTGAACAAACCTTCACAGAACCTCGGGATCAGACCTGCATCTCCCTAAAACAACAACAAAGAAAGGTTAGACGTCAGCTTAACGCCCCCTCCTGCCCTCCACGAGGAGGATGAACATGTTGCGGATATTTCTTAACCAGTTCTTAAACAGCAGCTTCACTCCTTCTACCATCATTCATCAGCACAAAAGCTCAAGCTTCAGTTATTATTTTACACTTAACAATGAACATTTTAATACATTCTGTAATAGTCTGTAATAAAGTGAAGCAGGGATGTGTGAAACAGCATTTTAAAGATGTTTTACTGGCAGTGCACATTTTTATAAAGCACCTTCAGAGTCACTTTTCTTTATATCTTGTTGTTTGTGTCCTAGTGTTTATGCATTGTTGCTTTTATTTCCTCCCTCCTGTAAAGGATCTTATCAGTTTACTCTTCTCACATCTCAGAGGAACCGGCTGATCTGCAGGTTTATTGACCACGAAGCTGCTAATCCACCTCGCAGCCGAGTGCAGATAAGATTGAACGTATAAATAAAACCTCTTGTGGCTCCGTAGTCGGACTAGTCTCCCTCATCAGATTAGCGACCTTTGACAACTCGTACTTGTCTATAATATTTAATCTAATTATTAAGCCAACAATAAACAAATAAAGAAAGTGTCTGCAGCATCCCGACCTACGGGTAGAGATATTCAGCGTGTTTCTTATTGTCAACAAACCCCAGGAAAAGACCAAAACAAACCTTTCTACTAACAAGTGTTAATCTGTGCCATGGAGCTCCATTGTTGTCCAACATTAATTTTTGATAAAAACTACAGTGAGGAGCCATTTCAGGAAATTACTAATTCTTAAAAAAAAATAAAAATCAATGAGCTTGGAGCTGAGAGCTACAGACGAACATGTTGTTGGATATTTTAAAGAGATATGTTGACACCAATACCTGGTGCAGACTAGAGTACAATTTAAAGAGGTGGTATTATGGTTTTTGGCTTTTCCCCTCTCCTTTATTGAGTTATATATCTTTTTTGTGCATGTAACAGGTTTGCAAAGTGAAAAAGGGAGTTCCCATCTCCCACAGAAAACTCTGCCTGAAAACAGCTCGTTTGTAGTCCAGCCGCTTCCCTTTCATCCCTGTGACGTCACAGGGATGAAAGCTAAATGCGCCTCATAACGCTCACCAAGCAGCTAGTCTGACACGCACTCAAAACCAGCGGTGGAAAAACACTGAGCTGCAGCACACAGTTCTCCTCCCCCTTCAAACACTAGCTACCCTCCAGGCAGTCAGTGGACAGGAAGTTGTTCCTGTGATGTAGAGACAGAGCTCAGTTAAAACTTTATGGATGAAAGATACTTTTGTTACAGATTAATAACTCACCACTCTGAAACTCTCGCTCCAGTCCATGTTGCCAAGCTGGTCGGCAACATGTACAGCTGAACCGAAGCTGTTGACCGACTTTTCGCTGACCCGCCTTTCTCTGCTTCTGATTGGCTAGTAGTCCTTAACTAGGACCCGGGCTCAATTCCCAACTGTGACACATCTACCACTGTGTCCCTGAGCAAGACACTCCTAGCTGCTCCAGAGGCGTGCGGCCTCTGACATATATAGCAATTGTAAGTCAGCTAAATGAATTAATGTACTGAAATTGTGTGCTAGAGGACTTGGACTCGTGGTTCTTGCGGTCAGCTTAGAATTGCAACAATTAATCAATCAACCAAAAATGAATGAGCAACTATTTTGTTAAAATCGATAAAAAGTTATTTTACAAGCACAAACTCAAAGCATTAACTTGCTCCAGCTTCTCAAATGTGACGATTTGTTTTTTTTCTTTGCCATGTATGACAAAAATTTTAATTTATTAAACTTATTTAGACAGCATGGCCCCAAATAATGAATAATCAACAGATGAACAATAAATGCTCTGTTGTTGACACTAGTCTTCTGACAGATGAATAATTTGAACTGTATTTCTGGAGGACAGGTTCTCGAGTGTGAATGTTAAATATGATTTTTGTCTCACTGGATTTCCCATCATGGTGTAGGACTTCCCCGAGCCGGTCTGACCGTAGGCGAAGACGCAGGCGTTGTAGCCCTCAAACGCCGCCTTCAGCACATCTGAGCCCAGATCTTTGAAAACCTGCAAATAAGATCAATAAAATAAAAGAGCTTTTCTTTCTGCCAAGACATCTTTAACTGCTGCATGACACTGCAAACATTTCACTCCAGATTTGTGACTCTTATGACTCAGTATTGATGTTGCAGAACTGTAATGTGACCACCAGACAGCTCATGACAAGCTCGATTCATGTTAGTAAACACACACAGAGTCTATCAGCAAAAAGCTGCTTTGCCCGAGGACAAGAGTTTGATAAACCCTACCGCCCTCTGACCCCAAATCCAAACCTCTGTTGCCACTAATCATCCAAAAAGAACAGGAGATTGGAAAACATCCCAGACTAATCCTTTGAAACCCAAGCTGCTGCACTTTTACTGACAGCTTTGTTATTACATGTCTCATCTAGGCATTCCATACATCGTTATCGTAAGAACAAGACACGACACTTTGCATGTCAGCGGCACTATGCCTGTTTTATGATAGAAAGGCAGTTTTCACAATGTGTAATTGTATAGATTTTTTGCCAGATATCAATATTTGAGTAGATGGAGCAACGATCGAACAAACGATGGTCGGACTTTGAGAGTCAAAAAATTCTAAACCATACAAACTTTGTGGGTTTTGTCACTACAGTCCCCATCATGCTCACAGTGATGTAAACAGGAAGTTGTCACAACAGAGAGCCTTTATATAGACTTTTAAACTCAAATCCATCCTCAGCACTGCTCCATTAAATATAGCTTACATCTGTCTGCTACTCAGCAGAATGGAATTACAAACCCGTCAACACGTCACCTACGCCGTAGCCTGACGTGCACCTCCTCAAAAATGTAACCACACGTCGAGGTGACGCACGTAGCCCTGACGCAGGAGTACAAATCAAGCAAAAGTCCCTCCTCTTCCAGTGGACCACCATGGGACCTTAATTTGGAAAAATTGTGTCCTATACATTACACACGTCTGTCAGTTTAAAAAATTATTTAAGTCAAGAAAGTTTGTTTGTGAAACTGTTGAAAGACTAAATAAGTAATTACATAAACCACAAACCCAAAAGAAGCGTATGTGACATTATAAGTGTTTAGCGTTAAAGCGCCAACATGTTGGTGACGTCCATTTAAAAAGAGACAAGAGATGAATGTCATTGGACGGTTTCACAAAAAACTAAATTTACTACTATACTGTTTTATGACAAACTGCGACTTTCACGATTTAAATGATCTTTTAAACTGACAAACATCATGTGTGTAATTCAGGACACAATTCAAACAGGATCCAAACATTAGTAGTCTCTTACTGTTGACACATTTCTTCTGAAATAAGTTCCCATGGGGCAGAAGTGTTAGGGTGGGACTACATCTGAGCCTGTATTTTTCACTCCAACATTTACATTTTGGTGCGTCTGCACCGTGGAAAGTCATGTTGCTGGAATTATGTTTTTCTTGAAGACAAGCGTAAAAGTCTCTGCAGCTCTAAGCAGAACAGGTTCTTCTGGATAACCGCAGGTCGCAGAGGAACCGACACGACTTCCTCCCACAACAACAACACCGTGCCCTGGTAGCCCAGTGGTCAGATTCATGTCAGTATTATCATTCAGCGGATTTCATGTCTGAATAGATGTTTAACCCTTTCATGCATGATGTCCGCTACACAGTAGACAGATATTTGGAAGCCATTTTGAGCCATTAAAGTTACAGTACCATCATGTCCCAACCATCACGTGGCGGACTCCCAAAGTGTTGTTTACAACTGACCCTTCGCTAAGCCACGCCCCAAATACACAGCTGGCCAATCACAGCGCAGTATAGGACTCTCTCTAACTGAGGTCCAACACTTTTCATGGCTGCGCTCCACTGACTAATGCAAAAAGAGTCGTTTTCTAGCTTTTCATGGCTGTATTTTTCTAAGATCTGGTCAAACGCTGTTCCTGGGTCACTTGTAATAGTTACAGTCGTTGCCCAGAGAGGTTGAAAGGAGAAGTACAATTTATTCTCTTCCAAAACCTAAAATAAATCCAGAAAAATGTCAGCTGTGGATTGTTCCTAATGTAATGTTAGTTAGCTAACGCTAGCTAACTTCCTACTGAAGTAACTGCAGTAACAGACAGTGGCAGCGCAGGTAGTTTGTTGGACTTAGCAACAGTAACTAACCCCCCGTTAGTTACTGTTGCTAAGTCCAACAAACTACCAGCGTGGCTTAGCGAAGGGTCAATTCCATTTGATTATTATCTTTACATCTCTTGAATTTATGATGCAGTATATCAAAATGACAAACAGGTGAGGAAAGCTGAGATGCACCAAGTATCTCAGCAATAATTAGACCGGTACAAAAGACTAAATAGCCAGATTTTAATTATATATTTCTTGTATAGTTTTGTGACCCAAAATGCATCTGCTCTGTTGGAGTGGATGTTATGAGCCAAAGGGTTTATTCTGCCTTATTTTGTATGTTTTATGTAAAATTTTTATATAATTCCTACTAACTAATAACTTTATGTATTTATACCACTTGCTTTTAGTAATGTGTAATATTTTAGACCTAAATTAAGTTCTGCTAAAACACTTTGGATGCAGTGGACACATTTCAAAATGAAATACATTGGGGAGGAAAGTTTATAGGCATACTTTTTCAATTATTACTTTGCGATTTAATAATTCATGCATGAAAGGGTTAAAAGTAGGGCAGGACAATAACGGCCAAAAATTTTATCACGATAAAAAGTTTCATATCTTTTGAAATTGATAATTATCACGATAAATATCCAATCTTTATTTCTTTCGAGTTTAAAGGCTAATTTCTGCTCCTGAGTGAAAGTTGAAAGAAACCTGATGGTTAATTGTGGTTTAAACTCTTCTTTACAGTCAACACTTTGAGGTCAAACAGTGGATCACTTCACATCTCTGAGGTAGAACATTTAAAATAATTATGATAAAGTCTTTGTCAAAAAATATGCATGAGTAAAATTAAGTAAAAGCTTTTTCCTCAACAAAAATAAATAACTTAATTAAAAAAAATTAAGTCCTAATTCGTGTTGATTCAAGTGAATCAAATCAAACATTTATTGAATATTTATTGAACATGTGTTATTGAAAAAGATTATATCGCGATAATTATTGTTTTATTGTCCAGCCCTAGTTAACAGTTAAGTTTTTCAAATGGAAAAAAAAGGAAAGAGAAACGCTGTGACTGGTATTTACCTTTTCCTGGGAAACAAATGTGGAGCTCTTACAGTCCATGGAGTCGTAGGAGAAGTCATACGTGAATGTTTTAGTTCGATCCCTCATCGAATCTCCTGCGATGCCATCAGGGATCTTTGGAAATCAGAACACAAAATATTAAAAGATGCATTTTCAGCATGAATTACAGGCGCTGTTAAACAGAGGTAGTGTTTCTGTTCTTTTGGGGATAAAGAAAGTACCTTCAGGTTGGTGATGGAGGTTTTGGTTCCTTCCATCTTGATGATGCATTTTGCAGCCAAATCCTTCTCTCTGTAAAAGATCAATATTATTTATGTATTAAGCTGCTGCTTTTATTGCTCATCTTACGACAGGAACACTGGACTCCTTTAGGAAACGGAAGTCTCGCTCAAAGACAGTTTCTTGCTCTGAAATCTGCTGAGAGGCAAGTTCTTGCGGTGGAGACTTTATTTCCTTTTCTAACTTTTGTAAACTCCAACACAACAAACTCCTTCAACAAATCACCTCGCACCAGATTTCAGAGCGAGGACTGTCCTTGAACAGAGACTTCAGTTTCCTGGTAGAGAAACAAAACTTTTTGTACCTACTAGTCATTAACTAAATAATTTCTGCTCTAATTTAGTTCTTGAACAATTTTAGAAACATACCAACAATAACATTAATTAAATTCAATACTTCTTAGATCTTTTTCTTATCCGGTTGGTCAGACAAAAAAAGAGTAAAATAGCTTTTTAAAAGTTAGCATGACTGACTGCAACATTTAACAGGTGTTTGTTATGTCAAGCATAAAAAGTCTGCTTTAAGAGCAGATATTTCCTTACATAGATTTATATTTGCACAGATTTGAAAACATTTTGTATCTACAGGTCATTTCAACACCAAAATTCATGAAAATAGGGGCCAGGTTTAAAAATACAGAAACTATACTTTAAGGCTATCTGCACGCCTCCCCAATAACGTTTTCTAGTTATAATTTTATAATCGTCAGCGTCTCATGGATGATAATGGAAAAATCAGGAAATTAAAAAGTTATAAAATGAACCTTTATCTAATTTATGGTGAAGTCCAATATCAGCTGCTATTTTATTCTGCATCACAGACAAAAATGAGAAAAAAAAAATCAAATATATGAAAACTACATCAAACCGTAAGTTGTATGCTTCTATTATTTATTTTACACACATTTCTGTGTGATCCAGATTCAAATAACTGCTGCTGTATCTCTGGCGTCCAAAGTAAGAAGGAAAAAAAAAAAACTTCCAACAGTTTGAACAATGCTCTGCTGTTTAACTTCAGTTTGTGACAGCCTTTAGTTTTCCACACAAAACATGGCTGTCATCAATAAAATCCACATGACTGAGCCTGAATTGTATCAGCAGGGAGACATGTTTGCTTAGTCGGGTGTAATTAAATATTCTGTCTCCACCCCGGTTTGTTGTCCAGCTCCTTCATGTTTGAGTCAAAGATAATCTGTGCAGCCGCTGTCACTTTAAAAAGCAGCAGCTGAGCTTCCCGGGACATAAAAGGTGTCGTGATCTTCAGAGCGACAATAACCAAACAACACATTATGCAATACGGTGTCATTATGTCGTATAATGGAGGTTAACACACAAAAAATGATTTTAAAGGTCAGTGGAGTTTAGTTTAGGGCTGCAACTAACAACTACTTTCTTCATCAAATAATATTATAAATGATAAACAGTTTTAGTCTATAAACTAATTGAATAAAAAAATAAAATTAGTTGTATCAAATTAATCGCCAAGTCATTTTTTTTAAAGAAAAATGATCTGACTGTGACAGTATCCTGAATATCTTTTTGTTTTGGAAAAAAAAAAAAAAAAAACATTTCAGGATGTCATCTTAGGTTTTGGGGATACACACTGATCGACATTTTTCACCATTTTCTGACATTTAGATTTTCTGTCAATCTACTAATCGATTAATTAACCAAATAATTTTTGCTATAATGTAGTTCCTGAACAATTTTAAAAACATCCCAAATAGGGGAAAATCACTCAGTTTGAGCGCAACAAGGTTTATTACCAGAGCAGTCAAATGATTGATTAAACAGTGAGTAATAATTAACAAATTCAATACTTGTTTGATCATAGAAATCATGCATCTGTTTCTTATCCTCTTTATATTGGGCTTAGGGCGGTTGGTCAGACAAGATGAAAAGAGTAAAATAACTTACTAAAATAGTTAGTATGACTATTTGGTATCATTTTATTTTGTATTGAACCTAAATTCTGTTTGTGTGGCAATCAAATTGTATCTGTAGCACAGAGTACCGCAAACTGACAAGCTTCAAAAGCTTTGATCAGATATTTCCTAACACTGATTTAGATTTTTAGAGACAATACAGGCAGTTGGCTACTTTGCAATTTCATTAAATTTCAATTAATTGTTCAGCCGTAGTTCAGTTCATCTTTAGGGAAACAGCTCAGATTTACCGGAATGGTAAACAAGAGAAAGTTTGATAATAGTAATATTCATACTGGTTGAAATAAACTTTTTGACAGCAGCCTATCCCCCACCTTTGCTGGACAAGAGATTTGCAGGAAAGAAATTAAAGATCTGCCGGTTGCACAAAATACCTTAAGTTTGACACATAAGTCTTAATTTCTCTTTAGCAAGGGGATTTACTTAAAGGTGTTGCACAGAATCCCTAAAAAGGTTTCCTTAGTAAAAGAAAAACGTTAAATAGGGCTGTCGCAATAACCGCAACATTGAGATACCCCGCTTTGGTCAAGCCTACCGCGGAGGATGGCAAGCACCAACAACCGAAATGTTCATACTTTACACTTCAGCGTTTGTTAACTTAATAGATTAGTGCTTTAAAAGTTGAAGAAATTATTCGTTTTTTTGTGCAACGGTTTCACAAATTTAAGTTATTCCGGAAGTTTAAGGCCAAGATAAGGAGAAAACCATAAATACTTGTGAAGTGAACGTTTTAAGGAAACCTTAAAGAGAAAACTTAAGGGTGTTTTGTGCAACCGAATTTAATTAAAGGAAACCTCAGCTCAGACTTTAAGGAAAATGTTTTGTGCAAAGGTGAGTTCAGTGACTGAAGTCCCAGCGGGCTATTAATTGAAGTTTTTACAGTATTTGAGCCGAAGACCATCACGTTGCTTTTTAAACAATCCTGTAGTTTTGTTGAAAATCTTACTGAAAAAGATTTTGCTGGTTAAAACAGCCGTAGGGTGACGGTTTAGCGGCTCAACAAGAGGGAACCATGTTTGCTCTCCAGCTGCACCTGTCAGGAACAACCATGTGAGAGTTTGTTGTCAGCCTCCTAATTTAAATCACTGCACCCACGAAAACCACAAAACACCAGCTGCATCCACACACAGCCACCTGAACTGACTGAAACTTTACATAACAGTTAAAATAAAATAACACTATTAAAATAACCTTACAAACGCCTGCAGCTGTAGTAAGTAAGTACATTTCTTGAGTCTCCTTGTGTGGATTAAACAGCCACTGACCTCAGTTAGCATCATAAAAACAACCACTTTCTCACATTGTACTTGCTGAAAAGTGATGGTTCGCGTTTAACAACCGTGTTATTGTGCTTAACTCACCGCCTGTTCATGGGTCGGACCCGCACAGCCACCCGAACCGAAGCCATCGCACATCACCGCTGTTGTCCGGTCCAGTCAGTCAGTTAGCCTCAAACGTGCCGCTTTATAACAAGCTAATGAGCTAACAGGCTAACCGCTTAGCATGAGACACAGCGGGATAAAGAGGGCAAAAGTCGCAAAGATAACCCGACTGAGTGCTCACGAAAAGTTTAAACTAGACAGATAGTGAGGAGAAGAGAGGGTCGCCAACGTGGACAGATGTTATCGTTGTCCGGTGACACCGCGTCGCCGTCCCGGCGTCAACCGGCTCACATCCATGGTCACTGCTAAGTTGCCTGTTAGTCTGTTTTTAGCTAGCGTTCATGTGACAAAAAAAATCAGCTGATAAAAACATTACATCTGTACGGAAGCCAGGAGAAGACAAAACTGAAAATGAGTATAAACATGGTAAATAATATGTGTCTGTATTTACAAAAAAATAAGTGTATATGTACAAAATATGTATGTGTAAATGTACAAATATATATTGTTTGTGTATATTTAAAATATATGTGTATATATGTACAAAAAAGTTTATGTGTAGGATATGTAAAAAATATATATAATTCAGCTTGTGTTTCTGCTTTTGGGTTTCAGTCCTTTCCGTCTGTTGTCTTGCGTTCAGTCTGCCCATTTATATATCTGGTTGTGTTCTGTCTGCTTGTGTTCTCGATTAGTTTGTTTTCGTGTTTCTTGTGTTCTCGATTAGATTGTTATCTGTCTGCTTGTGTTCTTAATTAGTTTGTTATCTGTCTTCTTGTGTTCTCAATTAGTTTGTTATCTGTCTTCTTGTGTTCTTGATTAGATTGTTATCTGTCTTCTTGTGTTCTCGATTAGTTTGTTATCTGTCTGCTTGTGTTCTTGATTAGTTTGTTTTCGTGTTTCTTGTGTTCTCGATTAGATTGTTATCTGTCTTCTTGTGTTCTTGATTAGTTTGTTTTCGTGTTTCTTGTGTTCTCGATTAGTTTGTTATCTGTCTTCTTGTGTTCTCGATTAGTTTGTTATCTGTCTTCTTGTGTTCTCGATTAGATTGTTATCTGTCTTCTTGTGTTCTTGATTAGTTTGTTATCTGTCTGCTTGTGTTCTTGATTAGTTTGTTTTCGTGTTTCTTGTGTTCTCGATTAGTTTGTTATCTGTCTTCTTGTGTTCTCGATTAGTTTGTTATCTGTCTTCTTGTGTTCTTGATTAGTTTGTTATCTGTCTGCTTGTGTTCTTGATTAGTTTGTTTTCGTGTTTCTTGTGTTCTCGATTAGTTTATCTGTCTTCTTGTGTTCTTGATTAGTTTGTTATCTGTCTTCTTGTGTTCTCGATTAGTTTGTTATCTGTCTTCTTGTGTTCTTGATTAGTTTGTTATCTGTCTGCTTGTGTTCTCGATTAGTTTGTTATCTGTCTTCTTGTGTTCTTGATTAGTTTGTTATATGTCTGCTTGTGTTCTCGATTAGTTTGTTATCTGTCTTCTTGTGTTCTCGATTAGTTTGTTATCTGTCTTCTTGTGTTCTCGATTAGTTTGTTATCTGTCTGCTTGTGTTCTCGATTAGTTTGTTATCTGTCTGCTTGTGTTCTCGATTAGTTTGTTATCTGTCTGCTTGTGTTCTTGATTAGTTTGTTTTCGTGTTTCTTGTGTTCTCGATTAGTTTATCTGTCTTCTTGTGTTCTTGATTAGTTTGTTATCTGTCTTCTTGTGTTCTCGATTAGTTTGTTATCTGTCTTCTTGTGTTCTTGATTAGTATGTTATCTGTCTGCTTGTGTTCTCGATTAGTTTGTTTTCGTGTTTCTTGTGTTCTCGATTAGATTGTTATCTGTCTTCTTGTGTTCTTGATTAGTTTGTTATCTGTCTTCTTGTGTTCTCAATTAGTTTGTTATCTGTCTGCTTGTGTTCTTGATTAGTTTGTTATCTGTCTGCTTGTGTTCTTGATTAGTTTGTTATCTGTCTTCTTGTGTTCTTGATTAGTTTGTTATCTGTCTGCTTGTGTTCTTGATTAGTTTGTTATATTAATTATTCTGATCTTTTCCATCTTATTTTGATATGGTCTGTGTTAGGTGTTTAATTCATGCTTGGATTCTGTCTGCAGGATTTGTTATTTATTTGATCATGATGTTAGTCTGTTCTGTTTCTGTTACCTTAGTCTGTTCTGTCTTGTTGAGTTGCCAGTGATTTTCAGTTGTTTAGTTTGCTTTGTCTGTTCTGTGTTTTGGGTTCCAGTTGGATTCAGGGGTCTGTACCACAAAGCGAGTTTTGCGTTATCTGGCTTAACTAACCCTAACAATCACGATCAGAATAAGCAGTCCCACGAAGCTGGTTATCAACTGGATAAGCCAATCCAGCCATGAGCGCATTCACAAAAAATAGGCGGTCTTAGCAGCAGATGACCAATTGCAGACATGAACAAGTCTACTGGCAGCAGAGTGTCATATATTACAAATGAAGATAGATATTATCATGGATCACAGGAAAATTATCCCATTATCACGGGAAAACGGAAATAAAAATATTTGAATGGATGGCCAGGGCTTCCGTAGGCTACTTTACTACCTGTTGTAATGTGACAAATAAATTTAACCTTGTAGCCTACTTGTAATGCTGTGTTTTTACAGTGTGGCATATGTACTTTTACTTAAGTAAAGGATCTGAATACTTCGTCTCACAGTACTCACAGCAAGTGTCATAATGTGATTCACAGCGGCAATATTTTAACTGAACATGCCACATGTCGCCTGTAGTTGTCCTCCTAGCCTGCTGAGGGCGGTAGAGAGTAAAATGCGCTAAAGCAGCAGCGAATGTTACAGTTTGTGTTTCCTGTGTTTCGTATGAGCGGTGTGAGTGGAAAGCAGGTGAGTTTATATACAGCTTTAAATTCACCTCACCTGTCTGCGGATTTACCGAACCGCTGGCACAGGTGATAAATACCTATGGATTGTGTTCATATAAGAGACTATTGTGTTACACCACTTTTAAAGTAGCATTTAGCTATTTGTCTAAGTTAGCTTGAAAGCTAAGTGCTAGGCTAACGTTATGAATGAGCGTTAAGCTAACACATGCTAATATTAGCTTAAACTGTGCATCTAACCTACTTTAAACTTTAAATAAACACTTAGGATGGGAAATATGATGATACAGTTTTGCGCGTTAGCTTCTCCAGCCGGCTGAGCTTTAATCAGACTTTCCGGACGTGTTTATGTCTCATTTGTGTGGATCATGACAGTTAACATGCTCTCCTGTTGATTCTTCAGACTCCACCATGGATATCCGACCAAATCACACCATCTACATCAACAATGTGAACGATAAAGTCAAGAAAGAAGGTAAGTTTTATTTATTTATTTATCTGATGATGATTAATCTCATTTGTAAGAGAGACTTGGCCAAGAAGCATCATAAGAGTTCAAGTTAGAAACATATAAAAGACATCATACATACATACATAATGAGTCCCAGTATGTTTAAGAATAGATTAAAACATTGTATTGATTACTTTTGAGGCTCTTCATGGCCTCTATCTTTGACCTTTTAGTCGGCACATACTTTGAGAAATCAGGTCGGCAGAGTCAGTTTTATTTAGCTGCCTTTGTGAAGCACTTTGTAATATTGATTTTGAAAAGTGCCCTAAAAATAAAGATTATTTTTATTATCTTGCAGAGCTGAAGCGGGCGTTGTACGCGCTCTTCTCTCAGTTCGGTCAGGTAGTTGACATCGTGGCCATGAAGACCATGAAGATGAGGGGACAGGCCTTTGTCGTCTTCAAAGAGCTCACTGCCGCCACCAACGCTCTGAGGCAACTACAGGGCTTCCCGTTCTACAACAAGCCCATGGTAGGACGAGACACTATGTTCACCCTGTTTTCACACTGATCAGCTGGACAGTCTGATGGGGACTTCTGTTTTTCTTTTAGTGGTATGCTGGTTGAATGTAGTTGTGTTGACATGTTTGACTTAACAACACAGCTCTGTAATGTTTCTCATTCTCACCTTTTATGAAACATCACACTAAAGTTAATTGCAGGTTTTCTTCATGCGGCTACAGAAATGTAAGATGTCAGTAACCAGAACAGGGCTGGGCTTTAACTGACTGACTTGTGTCCTGTTGATTTCCAGAGGATACAGTACGCAAAGACCGACTCCGAGGTCATTGCCAAGGTGAAAGGCACGTACGGCGACAAGGACAAAAAGAAGGATAAGAAGAAGAAGGCTCCGGAGTCAGCGTCCAGCCTAACAAAGAAGCCAGCAGTGGTGAGTGAAGCTGCTGTCAGCAACCTCAAGTTTAGGTTTACAGGAGTTTAACATCAGAGACACAGCATCTGATCTCTATCTTTTAATTCATCATCATTCAAAAGTATTTTAGTCTAGTTTTAGTCATTGTCCATCATTTTAGACTTTTCTAACTCATTAGTATAATTTTGATTCGCATTTTGGTCAATCTGCTCGAACCAAAAATAGAGAGATGATTTGAATGTTAGCTTTGTTCTCATTTTTATTACAAAGGAGACATTAACGTACCTCGCCTTGATATGCCGCTTCAAGTTCGTAGTGTTTTTTCCAAAAATCTTACAACCACATCAGTGGGTTGACCAGAGTTCGCATCCTTCTTCACCGTAACGTTTTATAATAATAATAATTAATAATAATAAATCTAGGAGGGAAAAACAAGGAGCAGGCTGGAAGAAATATTTCCAAAAACCTGTTTATCTATCATCTTTCTTGGCATTTATTATCTGTGTGTGAATGTGAATATCTCTCTGAGCAGCAGAGGGAGGCAGCGTGTCACCTCACTGCAGAATAAATCGGGATATGTTGGATGAAATTATACAAGTCGGTCTCCTTCATCAGCACACGTGCTGGACCTCTAACAGGGTTTCCAACAGGAAATTGGTTGGTGAAGATTTGGAGTAGGCAGAGCAGATGTGCCTCTGTAATAACTTTCTGATGAGAGGAGCTGAGGCTGTCGACACTTATTCATGTTAGAATGTAACTTCACTGCTGCACCTCATGGGAAATGTGGTTCTTAAACCCATTTAACCATGAATATTTAATCTTATTGTGAAACCCGTGCACTAATGTCAGATTTTAAACAGTTGTTTTTCTACTTTTCATTTTGAAATAGTAATGAAAATGTATTAGCTGTGCCTCAGTTTAACACCAGTGGCCTGTACTACAAAATAGAGGTAACTGGATTATCCAGGTAACTTCAGGTGTAACTTCGCGATTAACCCGTACTACGAAAGGTGGATCAGTTTTACCCGAGGTCCTCTGTCATGGCAATTTACGCTGCATCTCTAAACTGCTGCGAGCAGTTATCTTTGTGGTTAACTCGACATTACCCTGTATACATGGACTACACACCACATCTGCACTCAGTGTTAATGAGAACAATTAAAATATTCCACTGGATGAAATATGTTAAGATTTCATCATGACTTGGGCTGCAGCTGAAATGCCGTTATTCTGAACACAACAGCATCACGTTCATACAGGCAGTCCTGCCTCCTTGCTGATATAGGGAGGAGATCTTAATTATACTGAACAAAATTATAACACTTTTGTTTTTGTCCCCATTCATCATGAGCTGAACTCAAAGATCTAAGACTTTCTCTGTGTACACAAAAGGCCTATTTCTCTCAAATATTGTTCACAAATCTGTCAAAATCTGTGCCTAAGGCTGGCCACAACAGGCCACTTCAAAATGTGCAGTTTCACTGTATTGGGGGGATCCGGGTGGGGTCCGGAAAGCAGTCAGTATCTGGTGTGACCACCATTTGCCTCATGCAGTGCAACGTATCTCCTTCACATAGAGCTGATCAGGTTGTTGATTGTGGCCTGTGGAGTGTTGGTCCACTCTAGAGAGCTGCATTGGGTTTGGGATACCGCGGGACCCAACACAAATTGCACGGGAGCGGGCGGTTTTAACTCTGCTGCGGGAGGGAGCGGGCGGTTAAAAAAATACACTGCAGGTCCCGCAGTAGCACTGATGAGATGGAGTCAACAAACGAAGTTGAAAAGAAGATAAAAGTGAGTGTATGCGGCTGCTTCTGAGAATGTACTGCACAGGCCTGACTCGAAGCAGCAACCTTGGGTACGGGAGGCGGACACGCTTACGAGGATGCTAAACCCCGTGGGCAGTGGCGTCAGTCGCCAGTGCGTTTCTTAACATGTCGGGGAGTGAGGTTTACTCACTGCACAGCCTCGCTGGCTTCCGTCACACGGGCTTACAATACAAGACCAAGGCAAGTCTGAAATTTGGAACACTTCTCAGTTGTTACTGACAAATGAATGCAATGATTTGTCATTTTTTTTCTGAATGTTGAGCAGAGCCCAAACATTTGTATCCTAATTTTACTCTGCATGTCACAATGTTTGCGGGTGTGGGCGGTAATGGTCACAAAATCAGTAGGAGCGGGATCAAGAAAAATGTCCTGCGCAGGTCTCGAGTCCACTCCTCTTCAATGGCTGTGCGAAGCTGCGGTCAGGTCGAGACCCCGGTGAAGACCACGAGCATGTAGATGAGCTTCCCTGAGACGGTTCCTGACAGTTTGTGCAGAAATTCTTTGGTTATGCAAACCGACTGTTGCAGCAGCTGTCCGGGTGGCTGGTCTCAGACGATCTTGGAGGTGAAGATGCTGGATGTGGAGGTCCTGGGCTGGTGTGGTTACACGAGGTCTGCGGTTGTGAGGCCGGTTAGATGTACTGACATTCTCTGAAACGCCTTTGGAGACGGCTTATGGTAGAGAAATGAACATTCAATTCACGGGCAACAGCTCTGGTGGACATTCCTGCAGTCACACCACATGCCACACCTGTGAGGTGGATGGTTTATATCGCCAAAGGAGAAGTGCTCACTTACAGATTTTGACAGATTTGTGAACAATATTTGAGAGAAACAGGCCTTTTGTGTACATAGAACATACATATAACAAATTATTTGAAAAGTTTCAGTCTGGTTTTAGGAAGTACCACAGCACTGAAACTGCCCTGCTTAAAGTCACCAATGACCTTTTAATGTCTGCTGATGAAGGCATGTGCTCAGTCCTGGTACTCCTGGACCTTAGCGCTGCTTTTGACACCATTGATCACAACATCATGTTAGACAGACTGAGGCACTGGGTGGGGATCTCTGGTACTGCCCTAGAATGGTTTTCATCCTACCTGTCAAATAGGAAGTTTTGTGTGTCTGTAAACAACTATGTCTCTTCATTCTGTCCAGTTAAATATGGTGTGCCTCAGGGGTTTTGTTTTCCTTGTATCTGCTTCCCCTTGGACATATTATCCATAAACATGGCATTTCTTTTCATATTTATGCTGATGACACACAAATGTACTTGCCTGTCAGATCCACAGACCCTGGAATGCTGAGTTCACTTAACAACTGCCTTTGTGAAGTTAAAAAATGGATGTAAAATAATTTCCTCCAGCTGAACTCAGACAAAACAGAAATCCTGGTCATCGGGTCTCAGCAGATGGCAAAACAAATACTGCCATCTGCTGGTTCCCTAGTAAATCACATTAAGCCTGTGGCAAAGAACCTTGGTGTTTGGTTTGATAGTAATTTAAATTTCGAGCAGCACACCACAAAGCTTGTTCAATCATGTTTTTATCAACTTAGAAATATAGCTAAAATTCGATCTATGTTAACTTTTAAGGACACCGAGACCATTTTACACGCCTTCATCTCATCACGCCTGGATTATTGCAACAGCCTTTTCACCTGTTTAACCCAAAAATCTATTGATCGACTCCAGACTGTCCAGAACTCAGCTGCCAGGCTTTTAACCAGAACAAAGAAATATGATCACATTACTCCTATTTTAGCTTCATTACACTGGCTCCCAGTATGTTTTAGAATTGACTTTAAAATTCTATTGATCACTTTTAAAGCTCTTCATGGCCTCTCGCCTTGTTATATTTCTGAACTTTTAGTCCCATACGCACCAGCACGTACCTTGAGATCCTCGGGCAGAGGTCTGTTGTCTGTTCCAGAGTCTCGACTGAAAACTAAAGGGGACAGAGCGTTTGCTGTCAGGGCCCCAAGGCTCTGGAACAGCCTGCCCGAGGAAACCAGGTCAGCTGAGTCAGTGAACTCTTTTAAGTCCCTTCTTAAAACATACTTTTATAGGAGAGCTTTTCCCGATCTTATTTGACTTTATTTTATCCCTTTTATTTTATTGTATTTTACTAATTTTATATAAAATTTTCATGCTCTTATCTTTTTTTTTTTTTTTTGTATTGTTCTGTACACTTGTTAAAGCACTTTGTAACTTGTTTTTGAAAAGTGCTCTACAAATAAGGATTATTATTATTATTATTATTATTATTATTATTATTATTATAGAGAAAGTCTTAGATCTTTGAGTTCAGCTCATGATGAATGGGGGCAAAAACAAAAGTGTTGAGTTTATGATTTTGTTCAGTGTAATTAACGGGCCACTTGTTAAGATGTAGCCCATCTGTATAACTGAATTATCCTAAATGCTTTCACATATTTAGATTGACTATTTTACGTGTCCAAAAAAGACTTGGTAAGGGTTACAAATCTGAGAAAAATCCAAATCACTCTGGCGTTTCTTCTAGAATAAGTTTCTGAAGTCCTGATGCAAAGATAATGGAGATCTGTTGGCTAAAATCACCAGTATTTCCTAATTGCTAAGTGCTATTGGGAAGTTTTCTGTCGCATGCATAATGCACAGCAGAGGGGTGAGTGTGTGTGATGTTGCAGCCTCGTAAATGGAAGCGATTTGGTTCCCTGACAAAACAAGCCTTACCTGAATTTTTCAGCCGCCACAGTGTTAGATTTAGCCTTCTCTTCATATCCTGACACTATCATCGGGCATTCTTCTAGGGAAAATACGGAGCATGTGCCATTATGAAAACTGCACGTTTTAAGCTAACGTGCACAAACTCCAGTTAAGCTGACACCGAATTAACTAACAGACATCTGATTCACCGTCGTACTGCCGTTTTAATGCAAGTGTTTCAGTCCACCCTGACTTTCCTTGATAAGAGAGAAACATGCTTTTATCAGAAGTCGGAACAAAACCACTGGAATGGTCCTCTCAGAAGGTCGATCAGAGCACTGTTACTGTTGAATTAATCAAAATTGTGATACTGAACCCTCCTGTTCTTGGTCAACTTTGTTCTGAACGCAGTCTGTGCTTCTGTAGTCCTACCTGTTGTTCACCGTCATCCTTTGTGTTTCTTGCTTGCAGGGATCAGCAGCACCTGTGCACTCCCCTGCAGCGCAGGTAAGACTGTCGACCGGAGCACAAACTGAACATTTTGGTTCGATCGGGTTGTTTTTTTTAAAGGAATAAACCAGGATGATGTTTTAATATTGTTCAAATATACCAAAACTTTTAGATCTTACTGCAACAGCAAATGTGTGCAGTGTTTTTATTTTCTCACATAATTTTGATCCCTTGCATTGATCACAACTAAGGCCATACTTGGGACTTGGAGTCATGTAGAACAATTATGCCACTATGTGCAGTGGTGGATATTAACTAAGTACATTACTTGAGTATTTTCTTCTCCTACTACATCTCAGTGTTGTTGGACTTTTTTACTTCACTACATTTAACTGACAGCTTTAGTAGTTACTCTGCAAATGAACACATGAAGAGTTTATAGAATACGTTTTGTTGTAAATTCCACTCCAACAGTTTATACAAGTACAGCTGAAACAATTAGTCGACTGACAGAAGATGAACTGGAAACTCTTTTGATCGTTGATCATGGTCCCTTGCTCTTTTTCCTTTTTTAATTAATTGAATGTTTGTTAATAATGTTGAGGTTTGAACTGTTGGTCAGACAAAACAAGGCGTTGTGAAGGTGTCACTTTGGGCTCTGGGTTACTGAGAAGGCAAAATCTTTACAAACCAAACAATCAAGCGATTAATGGAGAAAATCAGCAGATGAATTCATAATGAAAATTATTATTAGTAGCAGTCTGATACAAAATATAGATCAAAATGAGCTGCAGCTCAGCGGCAATACTGAGTAAATCACAATACTGTACTTTCACTTGTAACAGTATTTTTACAGTGTGTTATTGGTACTTTTACTTAGGTGAAGGATCTGAATATATACACAAACAAACAAACAAACAACATGTAGCTCAGGGTTAAATCAGACAAATGAATAATATGCCAAGCAGTCACACTGGGTGTGATGTCCACCCGCCTTCAACAGATTATTGATCAGGATCTCTGTTGGCTTCTCAGGTGCCGGACAACCCACCAAACTACATCCTGTTCCTCAATAACCTTCCTGAAGAGACCAATGAGATGATGCTCTCCATGCTGTTTAACCAGTGAGTGCTGTGTTCACTGTCTTGACTACGTGTGTGTGTGTGTGTGTGTGTGTGTGTGTGTGTGTGTTGACCTCTGTATTTTTGTCCTCTGCAGGTTTCCTGGTTTCAAAGAGGTGCGGCTCGTCCCGGGGAAACACGACATCGCCTTTGTGGAGTTTGAAAGCGACACGCAGGCGGGCGTGGCTAAAGACGCGCTGCAGGGCTTCAGGATCACGGCGACCTGCGCCATGAAGATCACGTACGCCAAGAAGTAGTTCCCCAGGTTCAACCAGGGGACTCAAAGAGACTCTTGAGTGGGAGAGGGGACGGTCCCTGGATTTCTGTTGTCTCAAGATCATTTAGATTTTTCTAAATCCTTCGGAGCTTAGTTTTGTTTTTTTTGTTTGTTGTTCATGACAGTTGAATAAAAAATCTCTGGCCTACATTTTTGTTTTGTAAAATAAAAAGTTTTTACAGAATTGATGTCTTGAGTTTTCCTCGAGGCTCTAAAGGACCAAATGGGATCAGTTTGTACACGGTCACTTCAGCTTTTGATAATAAAATAATAAAATGATAATACTGTAATACAATGTGTGTCTTTGAGGGCTGCCATTATTCTGCATTTTTGTTATTGTCCCAGCAAGGTTATTGTTAACAAAAACGTATGAAATAACAAAGACAAGGTGTGAAAAAACATTAGTTAACTGAAATAAAAAGACAAGGCTTTACAAAAAGACGGTTTTGACTGTTTGCAAAATTAACTAAAATGATGTTAGCCTTTTGTTTATCTTTCATCGGGCTGACATGAGGCTAGTATTTTTGGTGGAAATGAAATCTATCTTAGTCCCAAAGACTAGCACTAAGCTTTAAAACTAAGCATTTAAAAACAAAAAACACTAAACTAAAATGAAATCAAAAAGGTAAAAATAACTAATGAAAAAACACAAACTATAATAACCTTTTGCAGGACTTCAAACTGCATTTTAGATTCTTTTCAGTCACATTTTCTCCAGCTGTCTCGATCATATGTAATTTCAGCACTCATCATTCATTCATTCTGCTGGCAGCTCTTGTATGTACTGTATAAATATGACCAGATGAGTTATTGATCTGCAGGCAGCTGAACCAGGCCAGCCATTAACACTTCAGCACTTTGTGCGGCATCTGTCAATTACCAGACAGGTGACAGCAGGGGTTTTTGGGACACGGGAGAAGAGGAGGATACTGGTGGAGAGCCTCGCAGTGATGGGAGAAGTGGTTTAATTTAGCGTGAAGTGACGATGTCGCCTGGAGGCTGAATGATCTTATCAGACCACAGAAATGAAGCTGGAGATTGAAAACCAAACCTGTAGTGCCAACCTGGTACAACCACAGCAGTCAGATGTTTTTACAGAGACGAGCTGCTGACGTGTGAAGGGAGAATCCTGACAAATTCATTTAAAAGCTGTGAGTTTTAAAGGGATTTATTATTTTGTTATAGCAGTTTTTCAGGATTCTGTTACAAATTAATTAAAGAGTGGGAGGCTGTGCCTACTTCTGGATGATGACTCCCTCAGTCCCCTTTCCTTGATGTCCAGGGATGTGACACTAAATGAAAACGTGTTGATTTGAGCTTCTGTTACAAACATGAAGAGGATCTTCGCAAATCAGCATCAATTGCTAAAGGCAGCAGACATCTCTGGAAAAAGCAAAGTATGTAGACCTGGAGTTAAGTTTAGTTTGTCAAATTAGCAGTTAACAAGTCTGCAGGTGCGTGTTCGGCCAACAGATTCTTACATAACACACTCGTATGAAACGAGCATGCAAGTAAAATTTTTTACTTTGGAAACAGCAGTTTGACAAAAAAATCCTTCCTACAATGTTTTGTGGCGAGGACAATTATTTTCCTCCCACTGCCTATCCAGAGGGGTTCCCCAAGGTTCAGTGCTAGGGCCCCTTCTCTTCTCAATTTACACCACCTCACTGGGGCCGATCATTCGCTCGTACGGCTTCTCTTATCACTGCTACGCTGACGACACGCAACTCTACCTATCCTTCCTGCCAGACGACCCAACTTCCTTGCGCGGATCACGGACTGTCTCTGGGACATACAGTGGGTACGGAAAGTATTCAGACCCCTTTAAATTTTTCACTCTTTGTTTCATTGCAGCCATTTTCCAAAAATCAAAAAAGTTCATTTTATTTCTCAGTAATGTACACTCAGCACCCCATCTTGACAGAAAAAAACAGAAATGTAGAAATTTTTGCAAATTTATTAAAAAAGAAAAACTGAAATATCACATGGTCATAAGTATTCAGACCCTTTGCCGTGACACTCATATTTAACTCAGGCGCTGTCTATTTCTTCTGATCATCCTTGAGATGGTTCTACACCTTCATTTGAGTCCAGCTGTGTTTGATTATACTGATTGGACTTGATTAGGAAAGCCACACACCTGTCTATATAAGACCTTACAGCTCACAGTGCATGTCAGAGCAAATGAGTATCATGAGGTCAAAGGAACTGCCTGAAGAGCTCAGAGACAGAATTGTGGCAAGCACAGATCTGGCCAAGGTTACAAAAAAATTTCTGCTGCACTTAAGGTTCCTAAGAGCACAGTGGCCTCCATAATCCTCAAATGGAAGACGTTTGGGACGACCAGAACCCTTCCTAGAGCTGGCCGTCCGGCCAAACTGAGCTATCGGGGGAGAAGAGCCTTGGTGAGAGAGGTAAAGAAGAACCCAAAGGTCACTGTGGCTGAGCTCCAGAGATGCAGTCGGGAGATGGGAGAAAGTTGTAGTAAGTCAACCATCACTGCAGCAATCCACCAGTCGGGGCTTTATGGCAGAGTGGCCCGACGGAAGCCTCTCCTCAGTGCAAGACACATGAAAGCCCGCATGGAGTTTGCTAAAAAACACCTGAAGGACTCCAAGATGGTGATAAATAAGATCCTCTGGTCTGATGAGACCAAGATAGAACTTTTTGGCCTTAATTCTAAGCGGTATGTGTGGAGAAAACCAGACACTGCTCATCACCTGTCCAATACAGTCTCAACAGTGAAGCATGGTGGTGGCAGCATCATGCTGTGGGGGTGTTTTTCAGCTGCAGGGACAGGACGACCGGTTGCAATCGAGGGAAAGATGAATGCGGCCAAGTACAGGGATATCCTGGACGAAAACCTTTTCCAGAGTGCTCTGGACCTCAGACTGGGCCGAAGGTTTACCTTCCAACAAGACAATGACCCTAAGCACACCGCTAAAATAACGAAGGAGTGGCTTCACAACAACTCCGTGGCTGTTCTTGAATGGCCCAGCCAGAGCCCTGACTTAAACCCAATTGAGCATCTCTGGAGAGACCTGAAAATGGCTGTCCACCAACGTTTACCATCCAACCTGACAGAACTGGAGAGGATCTGCAAGGAGGAATGGCAGAGGATACCCAAATCCAGATGTGAAAAACTTGTTGCATCTTTCCCAAAACTACTCATGGCTGTATTTGATCAAAAGGGTGCTTCTACTAAATACTGAGCAAAGGGTCTGAATACTTATGACCATGTGATATTTCAGTTTTTCTTTTTCAATAAATTTGCAAAAATTTCCACATTTCTGTTTTTTTCTGTCAAGATGGGGTGCTGAGTGTACATTACTGAGAAATAAAATGAACTTTTTTGATTTTTGGAAAATGGCTGCAATGAAACAAAGAGTGAAAAATTTAAAGGGGTCTGAATACTTTCCGTACCCACTGTATCTGCATGGATGAAGGCTTGCCACCTTCAACTAAACCACTCTAAGACTGAACTCTTGGTCATTCCAGCCAAGCAATCTATCCACCATAACATCAAACTACAAATGGACTCCTCAACCAACACTCCAACCAAGGTGGTGAGAAACTTGGGTGTCATGATTGATGACCAGCTGTCCTTCTCAGACCATGTTGCTGCTGTCTCTCGGTCGTGCCGCTTTGCTTTACACAACATAAGGAAAATCAGGCCCTACCTCACTCAGTACGCCACCCAGCTTCTGGTACAGGCCATGGTTACCTCTCGCCTCGACTATTGCAATCCCCGCCTAGCAGGTCTTCCAGCTTGTGCGGTGAAACCCCTACAAATGGTTCAGAACACAGCGGCGCGTCTGGTTTTTGATCAGCCCAAAAGGACTCATGTCACTCCATTACTGTGTGACCTCCACTGGCTCCCGGGGGCCTCCAGAATCAAATTCAAGTCACTGATGCTGCATACAGAGTGACTACTGGGTCTGCACCATCTACCTAAACTCCATAATACAAGTTTACGTTCCTTCTCGGCCGCTACGCTCCTCCAACGAACGCCGCCTGGCTCTGCCATCCCTTCACACAAAGCAATCCCAGTCCCTGCTGTTCTCATCTGTGACACCACGATGGTGGAACGAGCTACCACACGGCATCAGAGCAGGGGCGTCCCTCTCTAACTTCAAGAAGCTCCTGAAAACTCTACAGAGAACGTTTCCTCTGGTAACACCTCTAACTCCTAACATGCACTTCCTTTGCTCTTCTTCTTCTAACCCCTTACAATTCTCTGGTATTGATTGCACTATTTTGTTTCTCTTACTTCTTTCCCTAGGTATTTACCCCATTGATGCCGTACGTGCTGTCAGCTCTTACTAGTATGTATTGTCAGTTGTAGATCTCGTGCTGTATTGACGCTTTGTTGATGCTTGTATGCTGTTTTGTCACTTTGGATAAAAGTGTCTGCCAAATGAGTAAATGTAAAAAAACATATTCATCTTATCTCCACTTAGGAGCATTTCCCGGAGCATTCAACTGCTTCTCATGGCCTTCCTAAAATTTTAAATCAATCCAACACTAAAATCTGATCAAAATCTCCGGACTGAGAGTCACCAGTCATGCTGGGTTCTGTGGGGGTGTACTTATAGGATGATTCCTCTATTTTTACACATATGTTGGTTGTATAATGTTTTGAATCTGTGCAGCAGATGTTTCAGCCAGCAGCGTATTCCTTCGGGGAAATTGCACCAGTCAAAATGGCGTCCACAAAAAGTTCTTATTTTTGCCAGCAACAGGCTCCGGTTGCAGTCAACAGTAACAGAGTGAAATAACCCAGAAGTATTTATGTGGTGGTTGAAATCTCTAAATGCTAAGGAAGAGTGCTTCCTTTATTATCTCCTTTAACATGAGGTACATTGGACCGTCCTTTACGAAACTAAAGGAGATAAGCGGCAGCAACATTTAAAGCGACCCCATTCACATAAACGATCAACATGACTGACATGTCCTCCATCAGATCATTGTAGTTTCATCACTGCATTTCCACATGTATTGACAGAATTTAGATATAAAAGGCACTTTTATTGCCCTTCTCTTTGTCAGTTTTTTAAAGGGACATAAAGAAGTTTGTCTAACAACACGGAACATCCATCCATCGTCAACCACTTATCCTGCGTACAGGGTCGCGGGGGGCTGGAGCCAATCCCAGCTGACATCGGGTGAAAGGCGGGGTACACCCTGGACAGGTCACCAGTCCATCGCAGGGCCACACATAGATAAACAACCACTCACGCTCACACCTAAGGTCAATTTAGGATCACCAATTAACTCAGTCCGCATGTCTTTGGA